TGCATACATTTATTAATCTCTTTTTTTTATTAAATTTATTTGATTCAGTTTGTCTATTTGCGTACACTCCATTATTCCATAGAATCTGCAAATCGTGGCCAGTAGCATTTATCCAAGTATATTTTGACTTTGCATTTTTCTAATATAGCAGTTTAAGGAGGAGCTTAAAGAGTTTTGCAAGGAACTCAAATGAAAAAAATTCTTAAAAGAGAATTTTTAAAAGAAAATTTAAATTATTTACAAAGTAACGTGCTAACAATGTAATATTAATTAACTAATAGTTTTGAAATGATATCCATTTTTTCCCTTTTAAACTCCATTTATGTAACTGAAACTAAATTTTATTTCCAATTGAACCATAACATTGTATATAAACATGCAAAATAGAACGAAATTACCTGCAGTTTTCATCAAATCTTCCATTAATTAAAGCTTTCAACTGTTGAACTGTAAATCGAAAGCATTCACTAATTAATTTTAATAATGAGAACAAGTAGTATATGGTCAGCTGAAAACTCATTGACAACGAAAAAAATTATCATTGAAAAACAACAATGACGATTTCTGTTTTTAGCTTAAATTAGGAAAATAAGAGCATTAAGCTAAGGCGACCAGATGTCCCGATTTAGGCGAGACAGTCCGGATTTCGGACTTCATGTCCCGAGATCCCTCGCTTGTCCCGACGGGACGCCTGTTTATCCCACTTTTCTGAAAAATAGACTCTTAACATCAATTAACTAGAATTGGGCGTGTGGTGACGCCTTGCTGATGCTTGCTTCGATAAAGCTATGATACCATCACAGAAACGCGGGAATTAGCGAGACGGCGACCGCGTTGGTGGCTAAGGCAAAGAATATGTATTGTTGTTCTTTGGATAAGGTGGTTTGTGCGGCCCGATTGTCGTGTTTCGGTGGACTCCATTGCTCAATGGAGCCTCTGATAATGTCACGCACATGAGAAAAAAATAAATAACCTGAGTCATGCCAAAATGAAAGTCGAAATTCAAAGAGGAATTACAAGGCAAGTTTCCATTTACAAAGAAGGCTAGAAGCAACACAGATAGTGACGTGAAGTGCGACAAATGTAGATCACATTTTTCCATTTCACATTTTCACTCACAAGATCTGAGTTAGGGGGAAAGGAAGCTTATTTGGCTGCTACAGAAAGCACCTTTGCGTACCACACGATTTATCACAATCACAGCTTTAGGTCGATGGACTGTACTTCCAAATTAATGAAAAAGTGTTTTAATCCAAAATTTACTTGCGCACGAACAAAATGCGAAGCCATTGCCAGGAATGTTCTGTGTCCATATGTAATGAACCAAGTCAAAGCAGAATTAAATGTCCAAATTTTGTGACAGTGTCTATAGACGCGTAGAACCATAAGGATGTCAAGCTATTTCCTGTAATAGTGAGATATTGTGTGCCATTGCCAGGTGTGAAGGTTAAAATCCTGGACATGCAATCTCTTTCTGAAGAAACAGCACAGACGATTTGTAATTTTCTTGTAAATGCATTACAACGCCATGGTCTGACAAAAAAAGTTGTTGGCTTCTGCGCAGACAACGCTAATACGAATTTCGGGGATTTAAAAAAAGAAGTGGTAGGAACAACGTTTTTGCAATATTACAAGATGGCCTCGTGAGGAAACTGCTAGGTATTGGTTGTGCTGCTCATATCGTTCACAACGCAATCCTAACAGGGGATTATTTGCAAATTTATGTGGAAGCAGTTGTTATGAAAATTTATTATTATTTCTATATCTGCACTGTTCGTCTTGAGTCATTCAAAGAATTTGCGACTTTGCCTGTGTAGAGTACCAGCGCATTTTAGGGTATGGGAAAACTAGATGGTTATCACTGATGCCTGCAATACAGAGAGTTTTAAAATTGTTTCCTGCACTTTCTTGTCGGAAGGGAAGTGCTTAACCCTAATCCGCAACTTTTTTGAGAATCCCTGTGCTGAATTGTGGCTCTATTTCGTACATAATATCGCTGCGGTGTTCAAGCGGCAATTCTGCACATTGAGGCACAGACTGTAACAGCATTGGAAGTATCTTCTGAACTGGATGATTCAATACACAAATGCACTGAGAGGAACGGAAAAAACTTTTTTGCCCAATGAAGTACGTATGCGGATTACCCAATTAGAAGAGGAAGGATTGGTAAGAAATGACGTTATAAGAACCATTGTAAATTTTTACGACAACTGTGCTGAATATCTGAAAGAGAGGCTAAATGCATTTAGATGGGTTGCGTTAAAGGAGCTACCGTCGTGGGAAAAAGTACAAAAGAGCTTGCAACTTTTCGGGGGGAATATTCCGAAGTTTGACAACGATGATAACGAGTTATTTGACGAAACAAGCTACATTAGGCAATTTACTTCACCCACAAAAGATTGCAGATTGGAATTGTCAGAAAACTAGTGTCGACTGTCGATGGACTGAAATTTTTCGTCATTTCAAGGATAAAAACATGCCATGTGCGCAAATCCATAAAACTGTGTGTTTTAATCATATAAATATTTATTGATCTATAATTAAGTTTATTACAACACTCTCACATATTTTATTCCAGACCAACATCAACAGACAATTACTTCACTTCAGTTTGACCAGCAACTAGTGTGTTGCCACATATATGAAAAATCTCCTTTCTTTTGGGAAACTCATAGGAATCAATGCATTACATAATTATCATATTTGGATAGTCGATATACATTACGACCACTTCTTGTTTCATATACACGATTAATATTATTGCTATTATTTTGATGGTGAGGATCATTATGTATTTTTGGATGTTCACTACTTATATTTTCCTCATTCTCATTACATAGATCATAATAGTCTAATGTCACTAAACTCTGATTTTTAGTTTTTCTTAAATGGAATTTATTCCGTTTAATTACCCTAATTATTACCTTTTGCTCTAATCCAATATGATCTAGGAGTTGAATGCTTTTTTAAAACTATAGCAGGCTCCCATTTATTTTCCCATCTCAACATTACCTTTTCCCCAGGAATAAATTCAGGTCTTTCCCTTGCATGCTTATCATAATAGATTTTAGCCTGTTTCTGCTTACTCCTCACCTTTTCTCTATATTGATCTTTTACAGTTGGTTTCAATTCTGTTTGTGTAATTGGTAATCGTGTTCTTAAATTCCTACTTAATAGCATTTGACTTGGTGATAAATTTATACCTGAAATTGGAGTATTTCTATATTCCAGTAAAGCCTCATTTAATTTCTCTAATCCTGCTTTTCTAAATAAACTAAATAAACTCTTAGCTATACCTACCAACTTTTCTGCAAATCCATTAGATTTAAGATATCGAGGACTGCTAGTGATTATTTCAAATCCCCAATCCCTTGCGAAACTCTTCCTTTTCCAACTATTAAATGGTACGTTATTACAAATTAAAGTTTTGGGTATTCCATGTGTTGCAAATATCAATTTCAATTTACCAGTAACTTCCACTGCACTTTTATTTTTTAGAGGAATTATGTCTACCCATTTAGTTAAGTAACAGCCTATTACTAGATAACTTTTCCCCCGCATACTCACAGATATCAGCAGCAACCTTTTCATAAGGTAAACTGGGAATTTCACGAGAAACAAGAGGTTCTTTTACTGTTTGAGGCCTGAACCTATCACAAATTAGGCATTTAGAAATCATATTCTCAATGTCACTGTTGATTCCTGGCCAAAATAGTACTTGTCGAGCCCTAGCTTTTGATTTTTCAATCCCACAGTGAGCTTCATGCAATAATGTTAACATACACTTTCTTAATGCAACAGGTACTACAATTCGATTATTAAAAAAAACTAAATCTTGTTCAACACTCAACTCATTTTTAAATTTAAAATAAGATCTTGCTTCTTTAGGAACTTTATCAACACTCAAAGGCCATCCATTTTGCCAATATTCTTTCACTAACATTAACCCTTCATCATCTAATGTAGCTTTCTGAAATTCCCTTTTCTTACTCTCGGATATTTGCAGTTGTTTTGTTAGTGTATGAACAATCTCTTTCATATCCATGTTTTAATTTGTGTGTGCGTATCAATAAAGGAACGTGACCGTAAATCTGCAATATACATATATTTCTCAAGCAAATATTTAAGTTTTATGTTATATTTTAAGAACTTAATTTTTATCCTTTGCAATCTATTTGACAACACATTAGCAATATTTTTGTTCATAATTGAAACTAATGGTTTATGATCAGTAAGCACTTCTACCTCTCTACCATAAATGTAATAGTGAAATTTATTAACAGCAAATAAAATACTAAGAAATTCTTTCTCGATCTGAGCATAGTTTTTTTCTGCATTACTTAAATTCCTAGACGAAAAAGCAGTTGGTTGCCCATTCTGCAATAAGCAGCAGCCTAACCCATCTTTAGAACTATCTGCCTGTATAGTTATAGGTTTACTGCTATCAAATATTCCTAACACAGGTGCATTGGAAATTAATTTTTTAATTCCCTGAATGCTTTAGAATGTAGCTGTAACCACTGCCATTCTACTTTGTTTTTCAAAAGTTCCCTTAATATGGCTGTTTTCTCTGAAAAATGTGGTACAAATTTCCTCAAATAATTACACATTCCCAAAACACGCTGTAATTCATGCTTATTCTGAGGTTCCTGTAACTCAGTAATGGCTTTAATTCGATCAGGATCAGGTCGCATGCCTGACGCATTAAATAAATGACCTAAATATTTAACCTCACTAACCCTATATTGAAGTTTTTGCTTGTTGAATTTAATATTGAGTTTTTTAGCTCTGTTGATGACCTCTGTTAAAATTTTATCATGTTCTTGTATAGTGCTAGCAGCAATGAGGATGTCATCAAAATAGACCAATACTCCTGGTATATCACCAAAGTTTTCAAGATTGCGTTTCTGAAAAATTTCAGGTGCACAGGAAATACCCATTGGAAGCCTTAAGAATTTATAGCATCCAAATGGTGTGTGCTAAAAGTACAAAGATCACTACTATTTCCATCTAACGCTATTTGAAAAAAACCCATCCTTTAAGTCCAAAACAGAGTAAATTGATTTATTACATAGCTTTGGTAAAATCTCCTCAATTGTTGGAATCAACACATGTTCTCTTTTTATAGCTTTGTTAAGATCTTGAGGATCAAGGCATATTCTTAAGGATCCATTAGCTTTTTCAATTATTACTAGATTGCTAACCCAGTTCAAAGGTTGATCAACTTTTGCAATAATGCCCTGTCTCTCTAATTCGCTTAATTTTAATTCAAGTTTAGGTTTTAAACTAAGTGGTACTCTACGTGGTGGTCTCACTACAGGAGCTATCTGATCATCAACCATGATTTTACACAATCCATTAAATTTTCCCACACCTTCAAACACTTCTGAATTAATTAATAATAAATTGATCTTTAGATGGTATACTGATCCAACTTACCTTTAATTGATATTCCAACCTTATTACTGAATTAAATTAAGTTTAACACATGGATTAATTCCTAATAATGGACGTATATGCTTGCTAGAAACCATTAAAAACTCTAGAGTATGATCCACACCATCTGAGGAGCATTGTAACATTAACGACCCATCAGGCTTAACTTTAAACCTTCCCCAAAATGCTTCTAATACATTATACTTGTTTAAAATAAGATTAGAGTTCTTAGCACTCAGTGTTTCGTAAGTTTTCACAGGCGAAACATTCAGACCCTGTGTCCAACTTAAAAGTCACAGTTGTCCCTTCAACAATTATAGTTTTAGTCCACTCTTTTGTAGACGATGTTGAGCACACACTTTTAGTTCTTTGAACATTTATGGAATTCACGAAGAATTCATCATCAGATTCCCTATATACATCTGCGTTACCATGCTGAGAAACATTTTGGACGTGCTTCAGTCTGCACATAGTCGAAAAGTGATTTAGTTTGCCACAATTAAAGCATTTTTTTCCATATGCCGGACACTGTCCATTAACGTGATGTCTGTTGCATTTTTTACATAAAGATGTCTCAGTATTTGAAGTGTCATCACGCCATCCTCTGTGCTTCCTCACTGCTAAGGCTGCATTGGCTCCTCCTGCCAGATGTTGCTTCACTTTCCCTCTAGTTACGCTGTCAACATTGTGTTCTCTTAACGTTTGAGCACGAGCTTTGCTCAATTCAGCTGCTTTCCCTAATTCAATTGCTTTTTCCAAACTCAGATTATTTTCTCGCAGCATCCTCTCCTGTAAACTGGCATCTGATACTCCAAGGACAATGCGATCACGTATGACAGAGTCACTCTGCTCACCAAATTCGCAAGATTTTACAAGTTTTTTCAGGTCAGTCACGAAACAATCAAAAAGTTCCCCTTCTTCTTGTTTTCTCTTATTGAATAAAAATCTCTCCACCACAACATTTGTTCTAGGTGTCGTGAAAGCTTCAAACCTCTCAAGCACTTTTTCATAGTTACCCTGATCTCCTGTTGAAAGATTGAGCGTGTTGAACACTTCAACTGCTTCCTCACCAGCGGCATTTAAAAATAAAGCAACTTTCACATCTGAATATTTTCAAGCAATTCCTGAAGCTTTCATATAAATCTGGAACAGCTGCTTGAATCTGCGCCAGTTTTCAGCCACATTGCCGTCGAAACTTAGGCCTTGCGGTGGGCGACAAAATTCTATCTTGCGTCTGCTGAGAGGAAAAACAACCAAAGGGATTGCCTGGCAATTAGTTGTAATACTAATCCTACCGGCTACGACATGTTTTAATCATATTAATATTTATTGATCTATAATTAAGTTCATTACAACACTCTCACATAGCACATTGTTTATTCCAGACCAACATCAACTGACAATTACTTCACTTCAGTTTGACCAAGAACTAGTGTGTTGCCACATATATGTAACATTATGGAGTTTTTGTTGTGTTTTCCAGGGACAAACGCCGCCAGTGAAAGAGTTTTCTCCTGCATGAATAGCAATGAACAATTGAAAAGACACAATTAAAATTGGAAACACTATAAGCAATGTTAATGGTGAAATACAATTTTGAGTTTGACAGTTCCTGTAAATGTCTCTGAGAGACTTCTACAGAAACCAAAACTTCTTAGAATCAATCAATGAAATCAATTTCGTCAATGAAAAAATACGTGTACGGAGCACTTGCCTTCTAGGTCAGCGGCTGATCAGGAAGGCCCATTATCCGCATCGAATTAAAACATTTGCGGCGTCATGTGCTGGATGGACACATTCAAGCAGTAAGGTAGGTAGGAAGTTGCAAATATTTATTTTCCGACTGCTATTTTTTTTTATTTTTTGGCTTCGCTCTTACTGGAAGCGCGTCTGAGTCCAAATACCAAAGTCCGTGATTGTTCATTTAATTGTTTGATTCATATGGATAAATTCTGAGGTATGGATAAATTCTAATTTTTCTCTCAATAACAGAGTCTCTTTAACACACAGGTAATTCGCAAATCATGGGTAATTCTTTACAGGACAACGTGACTTCACTAAAAACTTTGCACTCCGTAATTTCACCTTCGGGGGGGGGCTTCCACCCTCTTACACCACACGAATTTGGATCCCTGCGCCCCGCTTTGCCATCCGAAAAATCTGGTCACCTTAATTTAAGCAGGAATTTATTTGGAACAACATGGTTTCTCAAACATATTCAGTCACCCAAGGATGGTGTCCATCTGCATTACACACAAGAACAACAGTTAAACATTGTTTATTGCATGCTACCCCATGCCACTTGTCACCATTTATTCTGAACTTTACTTGGGAAAAGATTGTAAAAGAGTCCAATTTTTTTTATATTACAGACATCAATCAAGGCATACTTTTTTCTCATTTGGTCAAATTCATACAACCAGTTGTACGTTCTTCAATCAAGTGTCTCTTTTGAAAGTGGTACAGCCAACTAACAGAACAAATGAAATCTTGAATGTCTAAAATTTTTTAGTCTTGTTTGCTTTTGACTGAATTATAAGTTCATTTAAAGATACAATGGAAGCATGCATATAATTGAACCATTCTAGAAGTAAAATTTCCCCCTCTTCGTACTTTGCATTGCGAAGTAGCTTAGATTTGTTTCTGAACCCTATGCAGCAACATTAAACATTTTTTTCACGATCTTTTAAGTATTCTGGATAAGGTAGATTTAGCAATTCCATACTTTCCAGCAATTGTACATTTCTTCAATACACCCAATCTTCTACTTTTAGAAATTTAATTTTGCTTGCAGACAAAACCGTGTCTTGAGTATCTCTGAATATCTTCCCAGTATGAGTGTGGTAGTGCCAGCAAAGGTTAAATTGTAAAAATAAAATCGAAATATACTTAAGTTTTTTATGACTACTATTTATCGATCACTTAAATTTATTTCTGTAATTTAAGGTGCTGCAATTCGATTACTTATACCTGTAAATATTCTGTCTTTTAACAGATCGCAGATTTATTAGAAAGTCTTCAAAATACAATTAATAAGTCCCAAAATAATTTTATAAATTGATATCATAAATGATGCCATAATATAAATACTGCTTGTGTTGCTCATATTTCATATTAGCCTCGCTCTGAAAAAACATCCAGTGCACAGATGTAGTATTTGTTACGACTGTCAATAATTCCTAGATGTATATAGTAACACTGTTTGTATAGTTTTTCAGATTCTCTGAGTTTAGCGATGTTTGGAGGGCAGGATCCCTATAGTAAGTTTGCTAGGATGTTTACGGAATATCTAAATGCAACATCTGAAAATTAATTCCTGTAATACGATTCTTATGTAAATCAAAACCTTGAATAACCACAAGAAATGCGATTCTGCTAACATTCATATTATAATCTCCATATTCTTCTTTACACTGCTAATAGTATCTGCTTCTCTTTCTTTCTTCATCAAAAATAAAGAAGTGATTAACCAGCCATGATGCAGATATACATTTATGCACCAGTCTCAAGTAGCACAGCAACGTCGTAATGACGTTACAAACTCGTCACAGATGTCGTTGAAATATGCGAAACTCCACTGTTTTGCAACCGTTGCAAAGACGTCTTTGCAGATGAGGTTTTGGTCGCATAGATGTCGTTATTGCGTCTTTCGCGGGTGATATTTTGATTGTGAAAGCATCGTATCATGACGTCTTAAAGACGCCTAAATGTTCGCAAAATTCCACCTTTTTGCAACAGGTGTGAAAATGTCGTTATTATGTCCTTGTGTTGCATATAGATTTATGCAGAAAAATAAGCTTAATAATTAATATATTTTTCTTTTTTAAAATTTTCTATTGCTTGTATTTATCTAAAATTTAAATATTTTATCATTTCCTGAAAACGAGAAGATAATACAATTTTTTCTCTTTAGACTAAATATGCATAGTTAATAATAGCCTTCATTATTCTCAGTACTTTACACTATATTTTTTAAATAACTTGAATTCTAAGTTACGATTATTTAAGATTTCATTATTTTTTCCCTTAAGTGAGAGTAATTATAAAAGTGGTTATTATAAATATATAACATTAATAGTAGGTTTTATGTAAATAAAACTCAATTAGACATAAATAAAAGTAAAGATATATATGTAAGTAAAAAAAAAAAAAAAAAAAGAAGAAGAGCATTTTTGATAACACCATTATCACATTTATTTCTGTTAAATCTCAGAGACATTGAAAATTGCCCCTATCATGATAAATTAGCAAGTGGTTCTTAAGATAACATAATTAGTATTTTACCTGAAATCAAGTATAAATTTTTTGCGTTTCACAGTAAAAAATATATCCATTAGCTTCTATATCTCCAAGATATGCAAATGAAAGACAGTATAAAGTAGTTAATAAATGTGATAAAAAATATATCTAAATCTAATAACTTTCCATATTCATATCTAAAATGAAATAATAACCTAACAAACAACATACATGACAGCACTATTTAAGAAAAAACTTGAGCTAGTAGTGTTTCAAAGTATAAATAGCAGAGGAAGGTAACAGAACTAAAATTTCCAATTAATAAAAAAATATTTGTGTTTTTTAAATAGTAAGCAATTAAAAGTGCAATAATTATGGACTGCAGTAGTATTTACTAGTACTACCGATGTTTCTTAACACCATTTTCTTTCGATCATATGTTAATGTATTTACTTATTTTTAGTTTCTACATTTGAGAATACTGGTGGTAGATTACAATGATTATTTCATGCACTTTTTATAATCAACTTTCCTTTTGATACTGTACAGAAATAATTTAAATTATATGGTATATGATAGCAAGCTAAGTATGTTAAAGTAAGCTCTTTATTAAATAGCACACGATGGTAGTTTTTGTTTCTATTTATTAGGAATTTCTTTGCTATCATAAGTACATAAAAAGTAAGCAAAGAAAATAGAATATACCTAAATTTAATAAAAAATAAAACCTAATTTCCAACATTCATTTATTGAAGATAATCTAATAAACATACATAACGGCAATATTTAAAAAAACGCGAATTACACAGTTTTGGGAAGAAAAAACCACCAACAACGAAAGTAATAAAACTGTAATTTGCAATCAATAAAAAAATATTTAGTGTTTTTTAATATTACAAAATTAAATATTGCATATAATCATAGATTACAATATTTCATAGAAATGCTAATGTTTAACACTAGTTTTTCGATCATACATTTTGTACACTGTGTAAAATCATTAACTTTTTCTGCATACTGTACAAAAGACAATATACTATAGAATGAGCATTATTATTAGTTTTAATAATTAATTGTTTATATTATACACACATCTAATTCATCTTCAGCAGTCATATTAAGTACTGGTACCAGTCCAATAATTTCTTTGTATTTTGAAAATAATGAACATACCATAACAGCTTGAATTGTTGTTGCTTCTGTATTGATTGCATTTTCAGCAAAACCAGAAAGTGGCTTAAAATTGTATGTTATTTTTGGTTTTATATGAATTAATTCTGAGAGCGAACTTTTCAATATGAACACAATAATCGATTACTATGAATGATATGCGATATAGCACTTAGGGCGTTATAACCGAAGCACAAAGATAATAAGGGTATCTAAATATTGCACCGCTGGAACCACAGTGATATACCTAAATTTAATAAAATATACCTAAATTTACACAGAGATAATATTTCACGAACTACATAAACACTATATTCTACAGAGACACCAGATTCACGATTAGCATTGTAGCATTTTTTGTAGAGCAGATATTCACACACAAAATAAGCACAAATTCAGCATTCTCCCGATGATTTCTTCTCAATTCAGACGCTTCCAAACAGGAACTCGCAGCAATGGAATTTCACTCGCTGAAGGCAGTTGAAGTAAGCAGATACAGAACAATGAGACGATTCACAGTGCGGGTTTTGATTGACAGTGCATTACATTTACCTTTAATATAAGCAATATTATTTATATCAGTCATTGCTTGATTCAATTTAAAACATGAAGTCAGTCTTTTCAAACGCCTTACAGATGGCATCTTTACCAAATTACTTGAAAGAATGCTACAATCTGAATTAATTGTGCAGTTCCTTGTTCGAATTTGGCAGCTAGACAAAGCGCGCAAATCTCGAATGTTCGTTTATATAAGCATCAAGTAAATAATGTACAAATCTGCTTCTCCTGACTGTCAGTGAATTTTCCATCATATACATTGAACAGCCGTGAATTCGTCCTTACTTCAAAAATAAGAAATAAAGTCATATTTCAGTAGTGAAATAATTGGTAACGTGTGATTTGCATCATTTCGGAAATGTGATTTTTTTTAAGTATATAAAATGCATAACTTATTAACTTACTTTATTGATTAGTTTCATTTTTAAATATTTTGCTATAATATTTATAGAAAATATTTTAAATATTAATTATTTTAAACAATTATTTAGCATGTATTTTTAGTACTAATTAAATTTAATAAATCAAAAGTATTTATATTACATTTACATTTCATTAGATGAATCTACCTTAGATTAATATATTTAGATGAAATAAAGTAAGGAAACATTGTAAAGTAAATCTTATGCAGACTTCAGATTTTTGAAAGGGCAGATTTAGTCTCTTTTTATTCTAAAAGTAATGCTGATGAACTAAAAAAAAAAAAAAAAAATTCTAAAACGACCACGTCTAAAAGTTGTCATATCATGATGTTTCATAGACGTCGACAAATTGCCAAGATGCAACGGCAAATATTTTGCATCTTCGCAACATTGTAAAAGTTAGCACGACCACTTTGAAACCTCTTGGACCAGTTTGCAACGTCGTGTGCTACTTGGAGTTCCATCATCACGTTCTTTGTCACCTCATCTTAAATATGCATATAAAGATAGAATTTTTAAATCATAATTAACATTTGAAATTTTTAAAATTTTATAGTAAAATAATAAATGTCTGCATTCTCTAATTTTATTCCACCTGTTCTTGAAAATGTTAATGATTAATATCATTTAGTTTTTCATATTAAAAACTTTATTAATAAATACTGCAATTGGTTCAATTTCTGTATACATTTATAAAATTAACGGAAAAAATTATTCAAGCAACGGAAATTAGAAATAAAACTTGTAAGCTACACTGAAAAATGAATTTTAAAAATGCAAACACTTTAGTACATTCTAAAATACTAAATATATAATACAAAATACTGATTACGTGAGCTAATTAAAAGAGTTCTTCAGTTAACTAAAGTTTTGATAGCTAAAACATGTATGAATGTACTCAGTTTATAATCAGAACTAATCCTAAAAGTATGAATATTTCTTACTTTTGATTTGAAATGTGCTGTATTACACAAATAAATTATTTCTGAAACTGTTAATTGTAAATGAAGTGTTTTAATGAATAAGAAGCAGTCAAATGAAAATGAGGCAGAAAAAAGTATGTAAACTGTTTATTATTTCAAAAGTAATAGCCATAATTGTTAATACATTTATCCCATTGTGAGACAAGATGGTCAATGCCATCATGGAAAATTATTTTTGATTGCCCATGGAACTATATGTTTGTATCCAGGCATGCACCTCTTTGTCTGAAACAAATTGATGGCCATGAATGTCTTTCTTTAGGGCTCCAAAAACATGGGAATTGCAAGGGAAGAGATCTGTACCGTATGTGTGGAGATATATGCTTTCCAGTGAAACTTCTGCAGTGCAGTCTTAATAACCCTGGCAACATATGGGTGGGTATTATCCTGCAACAGAATGACACCCTTTGTCAACATTCTTGGGCATTAGGATTTGGTGACACATTTCAGTTTTTGCAAAGTTTCCACACACCGCTGTGCCTTAATTGTAGCACCATGTTCTAAAAAGTCAATAAGCAGTGCACCTTTGCAGTCAAAGAAAAAGATCAGTATGATTTTTCCAGAGCTGTCATGCATGGTTTTGGATTTTTTGGTGGGGATGAACCCATGTGCTTCCATTGTTGGCTCTGACACTTGCTCTCCAGCTCAAAATGATGGCACAATGTTTCATCTTCCCATGACAATACAGGACAAGAAATTATATTCTTCATCATGATACCATTTCAAATGCTGCAATAATGTCAACATTCATTTCAACTTCTGCTCTTCTCTCAAGCTGTCAGAAACCCACTGCCTCCAGATTTTCCGGAACTTTAGATGATCAGTCAAGACGGTGTGAGCAGTACTGTGAATAATGCCCGACATGAGTCAAATGTTTTCCACCATCCACTGTCGGTCTTTTCTGATGGCAGCATCAATTGCAGCTGATTTCAACGACACCCAACCTTATAAGTATCGCTTACTCCATTCAAACACATGTACACATGACATACTGTATTTGCCACATACAACAGACATTTGGACATTAATTTCACATCCTGACACTCCTTCAGCAGTCAAAAATACAATACAGCATGCTGTGTCTTTTTCGTGGCCTCCATAGTGATGGAGAACACACACTCGCTGACTTCATTCTGAGCACGTCTAACAGATAAATGATACAGCAGTGAGCGTTCGCGCTGTTCCTTCCCGATTCTCAACAGATGGCACTTCTATATACAAACATACTTGCGTTACTAGATTCCACACCATGCTCATTATACGGTCTGTCTTGCTTTTATTTGACTGCTCCTTATAAAAATAGTTACTGGTTTTTGATTATACAAGTTTCTTACACATTTTCGATTTACCTGTAGCATTTTTAGACATATATAATGTCTAATAATATTTTCACCTTGATTTACGTTTTGAAGAAACCATAAATAGTAGATAGCAGCTTTTAATTTCTCATAATTAATTTTTTCATAGTAAGAACCATCAGTGCCACCTGGCTTTGAAACAAAATTTTGGAAATACACAAAATCTAATTATAATTTCATCTCTTATGCTTTGAAGAAGCCATAAATAGAGCTTCTAATTTCTCATAATTAATTTTTTTCATAGTTAGAACCATCCCTGCTACCTGGCTTTGAAACAAAATTCAGAATTTTACATTTGTTTTGTATTATTTTTTTTTTTTTTTTTACCAACATTAAAAACAACCTTAAAATATTGGTTTCGTCCTTTTCGTAATACATGCATAATTATTACTGTATCTTCATCTTCCCCTTCTTTTGGCTGAATGTTTTATCTTAAATCCAATGACAAAAAGGATACGGATTAAATGCTAAACATTTAACCATTACACACAATAAATAAATATATATATATATACAACGGCACAGTGCATTCATTATTTTTAGCTAAGAAAATAATAATTCCAAAAAACGTGCCAGAGTTCTTTTTAAATTTACTTCCAAAAAGCATGCCTGTATTTCTTTTTAAAAACAATCACCTTTATCTGATGTGCATGTTGAGAATTTTTATGTTAAATATATCTTAGGAGGAGTTTCAAATTCAGAGCTAAAAAATTATTTTGGATACAATAATTGTTTAAGTAATTTATATTAAGACAATTAACATTCTATTTTATTTCTAATTCTAGATTTCCCAGTTTCAGTGTCTCAAAAAATAAGAAGCTATAAAATCAGAGTTAAAAAAGGTTTATTTTTCAAATTATAAAATAACTTACATATCTTAGCAATGCTTTCACAGAAATGTTTATAGAAAATATATTTATTTTTCTATGGACGTATTAAAATATCAAACAATTATTACCAATTTCACAATCACAAAAGTGTATACAAGTTTATTATTTGGTAAAGACACATAAGTTCAAATCCTCCCCAATGGATCTATTTATTTGAACAGAATAAAAATATAAATAAATCTACAACCTATAAACCAAAAACTTTTATTTAAATATCAGATCACAGTTTTCACAGTATATTCTTATGATCAAGTACAAAAATGGAATGAAAAAATATTTATAGAAAACTTTTTTTATAAATATGAAAATTCCCCAATTAATAATGGAAACATTATTTGAAATAACAATTTTAAGTATTTTTGATTTTTCAAAACAAAATCTTCCTTTAACAAATTTTCTTGATGTTCTGTTTCCACAAACACATCTATGTTACATCATTTTGTTTCAACACATGATCTTAAGTCTTTCATTTCTGTAGCAATAGTGAAAAGTGTTCGACAATAAGAGCATTTAAGATTTTTTGTTCTTAGTTATCAATACTTTTTATGTTACAGAATTTCTAATATTAAAGGAAATAAATACAAAAAATAAATACTGTAATCTGTTACACACTTTTGCTGATAAGCAATCAAAAAAGTGCAATAAGCAAGGGGGGGGGGCAAACACATTTATGATGAAAAATGATTTTTCATCGCAACTCGTATCAAAATGTAAGGCACACTTCATTTTTACAAAAAAAAAAAAAAAAAAAAAAAAAAAAAAAAAAAAGATACTTGTAGTTTTACCATGCAGCAATCTGAAAATATAGGATAAAATAATTAATTCATGTTTATGGCTTCAGATTTAAACATTTTTTTTAAAGGAATTAATTCTTACAAATTCCCATCAGAACTCTTATATGCAGAAAAATTAATAATGGGTAATCATGAATTGTAATTTGAATTAAAAGTTTCTCTATATTTTTTCTCACAATATATCTTCATGTGGGTTCTGTGTCTATTTCAAAAATATCTGTGCTTTATTTTGTGCATTTTCTACTTATTTATTTTTTGTAGCTAGAAATTAGGCTGATTTTTCAAAAATATACTTTAAAAATTAAAATTAATGCATATTTTATAAGTGTAGAAAACTCAGATCTGAATAAGTTTTGACTGATGAAAATCAAAGATATAAAGAATTTAGGAAGCCAATAGGAAAGGAATGAGATTTAATTTTAAGCTGCATTTCATGAAATTTTACTGAGGAAGATATTTTATTTTTAATATAAAAGAAACATTTTTAACCTCTGCTGCATAAATAATATCAATGTATGGCAGATTTCAATTTTACAATTATACATATGCCTATATACATTCCCTTATGCACAAAAACTTTACCATATGAGATCATAATACTGTATATTTACTTTCTACAATGAAATATTAAAAATAAATATGATTTAGTGTTTTGCAAAATTGCATCAAAGTTTTTGTTAAAATTAGAAAAAAAAAGAAAAAAAAAAAAACTTTTTGCTCTGGATGGTGTTTTGCTTTCATATAAAACTAAAAAAAATTACACAGTAAACATTAAAAATTTTCACACAGCATAAAAAAATATATGCATAACAATAAGGCAAAGTAGGTGTTAACATTCATTATTTATGTGGAAACACTTCAGGCACTCTCAAATAATACTGCTTATAAAAAAAAAAAAAAAAAAAAAAAAAAAGGGGGGGGGGGATAATCCCTTAAGTTCTGGGAAAAAAAAAAAAAAAAAAAAACTCAGATATAAAAAAAAAAAAAAAAACTCAGATATAAAATGCTTCTCTACATTAACAGTTCTAAAGGCATTTCATGGTGTACAAAAATATATTTTGCAGAGCACTTTTCTAAACAAAAAAGGCACAATAATGCTGTTACTAAATGCAGTTTGCTCTTTACACATGCAAACAAAATAAAAGCATCAGGAATAAAATGTTAGAACACTTGTCTGGTTTCCTCGAATTAATAGAAATGGTGGCATATCTCTTGTTAAGGTTTCCAACCAGGCCATATACATGGGTGCGGAACAAGTGCCTTTACGTGGCATAGGAAGTGTCCTGTAAAGAGAAAATAATTGAAATTAAGCGACAATAAAAAGTTTTTAAGCACATTTTTTAAAATGCAGTTATGAAAATCATATTTTTATCATAGAATTTAAATTATCATAGAATTATTCATAATTTTTTAAAACGCAGTTATGAAAATCGTGTTTTTATCATAGAAAGAATCATGGAAACAATAGTACTTTTGCTTTTTAAATGGTTTTTAAGTACTCTGATTTGGCTAAATATTTTTGTCTAAATGATTTCAAACTACTGTTTACTATGGTAACAATGCATACGATAATAAATATTCAAATGAAATTTGCAGCTTTTCTCACCCTGTTTTACAGAATCTTATATTCTAATAGCCGTTTGTGTGGCTAACCCCTAACATAGTTTTCATACAAAAGAAATATACGCAGTACCAAGTCTAAGAACCAGAACTGTCAGGACTTTGGCAATTCTGGTTTTCAGATACTTCTGAATTTTAGATAATCAATTTACATCTCAATACTAACACTTGTTTTATTTTATTAAAATTTTTTCTGCAAATTAAGTTTTTTTGAGCAACTTCATTTTATGTGTTAATACTTTCGCTTCAATTTTATAGAACGATATAATTTCTTATTCAGTTACACAGTTTCATTGTAAAATGCCATATCAGAATTTGCATTTAGTACAAATTGAAAACATTTCATTCGCAATAACCTGTTTATCATTTTCTTCAGCATTTTGTGACAATGTTTTGCAGATTTAAAACCATACAGGTTTCATTACCTGATGGTTGGGGTATTGTGATCACAATGAAGACTTCAGCTATACCATTTTGATTAAGCATTTCTTCACATATTACATTAATTTTAGTTTTTAATTGCAACATCATACAAAAACTACAATTTGTGGCTACATCATCATAGAACATAGTAGCTGGCAATAAATAGGCCCGGATCTTGCATATTTAGTTCCCCACCTAAATGAAACATATCTACAATTCAAAGCAAAATATGTTTTTGTTAAATAATTGCTTGTGTAAAATAACTTAATTGGCATCATTCAAAAATTAGTTCAATTAAAATTAATTGGTATCGTAGGTAAATTCAAAATTCATCTGTCTATGTGAACATTTTTAGAAATATCTGCAGACCTGACATCTCATGATCTTGCAATGCTCAAACATACCAAATTTTATATTAAAATATTTGACGAATACTAGGATGGTCTTACAGCTGCATCAGGTTTAAAAAGGCTACTTTATATTTCTATTCATTTCAGTACACATAAAATTCCATTATCCATTGGCTGACTGATGAATAAATTTTTGAGGGAAATGTAAAACGAATATGTTATCTTTTACCAACTTTTCATAAGCTAACTGCAATAATAATGCAGAACAAAATAATAAGAACGATAAACTCAGAAATTTAAGGAGAAGTGCAAGTTCCATTACCAGCTTAAATTAATCAGAACCTTTTTTTTTTTTTTTTTTATTCTTATTCTCTACTACACCAACAAAATCATCAATCACCAAATAATCTCTGCTACAACTAGGAACATTCCACTTCATTAGTTTTCAAGAATCACTTATAAAGTACAGGGCTAGATAAGACAGAAAAATACTTTTCTAGAACCATTTAAAAACTGAAAACAAAAATTTTATTTACTAGCCAGCAGGTGTCAGCAGCCAGCAGCTTGACTTCAGGCAAAACAACATGCAGGATGATTCAATATTGTTGATGCTTTTTGGCAAGAAAAAGCTCAGTTAATTAGAACAAAAATTGATTTATAGAACATCTGCTTTTCTTTGAGTACCTTATTATTTGTTCCTGTGTCAAAAATATATCAAAAAATTATGCGAGATCTGAATAATAGATCACTCGAGTTATTAGCTGTCCTGATTTTGGGCTTTGTACTGTATAGTCATGTCAATGTAAAGTTAGTGAAGAGCCAGCTATAAAGATGAAATGTAATTAATAAAGATGAAATATTGCATTTACTGCTTTCAAATTGCTTAGTTTATTAATCAATAACACACATAAATTTTGGGAAAAAATGGCACAATAATGTCAGAAGATTAATAAATATCTTACTCTTTGCCTGTGGAAACAAATTATCTTTAAATTACAGAGTTTGTTAATCAAAATTTCATCCAATTCACACAAAAACTAATACAAAACAAATTCAAAATTTGGGCTTGAAGGTACACAGGTTCAAGTACAGGTCTATGTGTCCACAAAAATTTAGTGGGTTTATTTGAGGAATTTTTTTAATAAAACTTGAAACACTATTATTTTCTGTTATTACTTTAAATAAAATTAATATTTGATTCTGAATAGTTGAAGATGTTCTAATTAAAAAGAGAAATATTTTCTTTATAACATATGTGCATCAAGATTTGTATACATTAGAAGAAAGATAATGCAAAAAACTTACATAACAATAAGTGCAGCATCTTGAGAATATTGTATTAACAGTTCCCTTAAACGGATATGTCGATTCGACTGAAAGATAAAATAGGCATCATTAATGAAAGCTTGTCCAGCATTACAGCTACTGATTAAAATTACACCTGCAGATAAACAGGTTTTGCTACTGCATGGTGAAAACATATTACAAGAAATGTTTGTATAGAATTGGAGTTCTTAATGACTTTCAAAAACTAAACATATTTAAACAATATTTTATATAGAACAGGAGTTCTTAATAACCTTAAAAAATTAAACATATTTAACACTTTCGTGATGATGCACCTTTGTTTAAGACGTCACATTTTGGACGGAAGGGACTCGAAGGCAGCCACCGTACAGGACGGGGGTTTTGCATCGCTAAGTCTAATTTTATAAAAAAAAAATCAGAAAAAAAGTTTCACTTCTAGCATTGTAATTTTTGGTATCATTTTAGATTATTACTTGAGCTCTTATATATATTAAAATTAGCATTTAATAACCTTTTTTTCTTTATTTTACATGAAAATATATTTAAAAAATTGCTTATCTTGTAAAATAATTTTCGGAAGCACTACTGAAGGCAATGCAAAATGTAATAAAACTCCACATAATGTAATAGTATTTATATACTTTTAGGGTTACTATAAACATAATAAGAACTGTAAAAGACCATACATGGTAGAGGAGAAAATAGAATAATAAAAAAAAAAAAAAAAAGAGGAACTGGATATAAATCAGCCACGCAAATGTTTATATTAACATGTGGCGATTTAAAGAGCCCACATTTGTTTACCCTTTTCCTCCCCCCAGCTTCGCAACAGTTGATGAGTAAAATACCAAAGTCAGGCAGAATATATCAAACTCAAGGTCAGGAACCCAAAACTGTGTTAATTTCAAAAGTAATGGACACAGGGTTGCCACTCAAACAGGAGAACGAAATTCCCTGACTTTTCCAGGTATATTTCGAGAAAATTCCAGTCTATCAGCGTAATGTACGTAGGCTGTGCTAAGAGGTATATTAATTATGGTATTACTTGTATTGTGTAGCAAATTCACTTAATTATTCAATAAATTCCACAGGACATTTATTCTTAATTATTCTTGGTACACTTTGTTTACTTTTCCACTTAAGAAACTTAATAAATTTAAAGATATGTACATTGGATAACACTTGTACGTTTTAGTTAATTATTTCTCATGATCATAACCAGTTCAACACGAGGCTGATCCGGTTCTTATAAATCACAACGCAATGCTAAATAGTTAGGTTATATTTTAGGTAAATTTAATTTGTGTGAGGTGTCTTCTTAAAAGGCACCTTAACACTTGAAAACACAAATATAATTATAATAGGAGTTATTTTCTCCACTGAAGATTGAGATTAGAATCTGCCCAATCTAGAATAAAATAAAGCTTTTTTTGAAGACATTCTGCAGCTAAACGAAAGAAAGAAATCTATTTAATGATATTTTTTTAATAAATTGAGGTATTTTATATTTATTTCACAGCATACATAAGGAAAAATATGTGCATTAACTTTCTGAAGCCGGCTGGTACAGCAGTTGTACAAGGAAAATCACTTTCTCTAACGCCGGCTATGGTACAACTGTAGTACCAGCATTCCCTCCCTATTTTAGAGAATTGCCTATCTGTAGATCTCGGGGTGGTCCATTGTCGCTGCTCAGAATAACCGGTGGCTACGCATTATTTCCCTCTTCTTATCAGTTTGGCCACATTTTGGCAAAAACCGCAGGTTTCGTCTCACGTCAATATACTTGAAAATCAAATAGAGGCCATCTCTAATTTTTTTAGTACTGACTTTAGCTATGATTAAAACATCAGCGATTTTGCACGCTGTTTAAGCTTACCAGATTTAATGCTTTTTAATCGTAGCAAATAAGAATAGATTCATTTTTTAGATTTAATGCCCTTCTAGAAAATAGCTAAAACCGCTTTTATCGTTTACTTCTTTTTTTATACTTATGAATAATAAGATTTTATTTTGGACATTTTTTTTTTTTGGATTGTATAGTGCATAAAACCCTTAAGAACTATTAAGTCTTTCAAAGTGCTTCTATTATGTAGGCAATTTTGTCTGATTTATCAGGAGATAAATAAGAGACAATTGTATGCATAATAGTTTTTGTGATTTTCATTCATTCAATGATTGCTTTCAATGATTTTCATTGATTGTAAATTAAATAAAATCAATTTATCCTTAGATCTTCTTTTAGGATGAGATCTGCCAAAAAGTATTTAAATATCAGTAAAGCTCATGTTACTTCTGAATTGAATCAAAACATCAGTTACATTGTATTAAATTTCAGCCAGTTTTATTTTCTGAAATTCTTATACTCCTCAAGAGATAAAGGGAATTCAGACAAGTTAATCAAAAAAATATCTTTAGAATAGGTTGTTATTTTGTCTGTAATAAGGTGTATGTCAATTTACTATTAAATGTATGAGAATTAGGATTGTATTACGGAAAAGCACATGAACGTTATCTGCTTAAGGGGATGGATGCTTTCGTGTAAACCTTTTTAAGAGAAAATTGCTCGCATTTACGTTCCTGATTCTTCGGGTTTGGTTGGATTAATTTTGTACGCTTACTGAATTACATCAAAGCACACAACAATTACCTGTATAAGGGAAGGGATGCCTTCGCGGAGGACATTTTAAGGGAACCTGGCTTGCATTTACATTACAGAAAAACCATGAATCCAACCCTTTAGCCAGGATTCAAACCCAAGCGAGCTACAAGTGTTCAGCAACCTTTACCGCTCTACTGAAGAGCCCGTAAAAAAAAATTGATAAAGAAAAAGTATTGAAATAACCGTTTTATTTTACTAACCTATGTTTCTCAATCGACAGTACATAAATTACGCATATGAGGGGATTATTTGTGAAAAAATAAACTGTATTGCACTTTTCTCCACTATTTCATATTACGATGGAATTATTGCATTTCAAAGTTATTTCTCATGAATTAATTTTGCTCCGTTCATGATTTTTTACATTTTCAAAGAGAAACAAGATGATACTTTATGCAAAATTTGGCGTAAACTGTTTTTTTAATTTTGCTTTGAAAATATTCCAGGGTTATTGTTTTCATTACTGGAAGAAATATGAAAAACAGATTTACTACATTGTGTCAACACCCAATATGGTCCTTATTCTTTTGAAAACGTGAAAGATTACTCTTTCTAAAATAAATTAGAAATATATTATGTGCAAATAGAATATTCGTTGAAAATGAAATAGACTTCAAACATTGGATATAATGATGGTTTTAAATGAAATTTCTACCTATGAAAAGAAATTGACGTATAATTAATTCTTCATAAACATTTAAAACTGTTCTGAAAAATACTTTTGATGATTGCATGTATAGGTCACAGATTTTTCTTCTCTGCTAACATAAACAAAAGCCAATTTTACAAAGAAAAGTTCTCGTTAAAGATATACCTCCTTTGCCTGATAGTCCAATGTAATATTTGTTAAAGTTAAATGATGAAACGCAACCAATGTATCTCGAATTTTCTTTTTTATATTATAATAACAAAATTATTGAAAAAACCAGATTTAAAGCTCTGTTATTGTTATGTAAAGCTTTATTATTGCTGTAAGTTCATCTCAAAATCTTACGTATTGAATCTCATTTTAATCATCTAATGGTAGTAAAAATTATTATTATTTCATTAAATTAGTCATTACCATTATTTTGTTAATGAAACCATGTTATTAAAAATCACATTCCAGCCTGCAGACTTACAAAGCTAGTTCGCATGTATTATATTTTGTAAAACTTTGTTCTTGTTTTCTAATTTCTAATATGAAAATACGCAAATATAAATGAAGAGTGAAAACAAAGTTAAAAAATTCACAAATTATTTACGAGATTGATCAGAAATAGAGAGTGAAATATAAACATTGCATACATTTTGTTCTAAATAAATAGTGCACTGGATATGCATCCAGTACTGCATATTTATTTATGCACTATTTATTTAGAACTTCATTTAAATGAAAGCAAAATAAGCATCGAAAAAATCGCAAATCTAGCAACCTTTCTACTATGGGACGTAAGCATCCGACAAACATGTAAATTTTACTGCATCCATGGAGGGGGAATAACGACTTTTCTAATTAGGAAAATGTCAAAGAGGGGGCAAAACTGTTTCGGATCGTACCGGTCTGAAGGCTATATTATGAGAATTTTGGCCCGGTTTTAAAAGGTTAAATTTTGTGATGGTATGTCATCATACTGCTAGAATTAATTTCAGGGATTATGCCAGAGAAAATTTCCTGAAATTTGGAAATATTATTTACTAATGATAAATAAATTTAGAGGGAAGATGCAACATTAAATGATATGAATAACATAAAAATAAAGATAATTACGTAAAAATGGAATTAGAATAATCAACGATATTTTAGCAAATATTACATGGTTAGCCTAGATGATTGATTACTATTTTTTTATTTTACTGCAAAATGACAGGGTATTTATTAAAAAAAAAAAAAAAGGTTTAAAAAGATTTTGCAGTAAAATCCTAGTATACGGTACGGCCTTCGAAAGATTTTGAAAATTGTCGCCAAGAACAAAATGACCCGTTTACTGCTCATCATCATGTCGGCAAATCCCGCTGTACCATACATTCTAACCAAAGAACGTCTATGTAAAGAAGAAAAGATTCCATACACGTAAATGCTATTATGCTGCTAGAAAGCAGAGGGAAAATTTGCCAAGGGATTTGGCGACGGAACCTGGTGGCCAGAATTTTCCTCTCCGCGATGTGTACAGGAAATTGAGAAACACGTATTAAGAAGAAACATTCTTTGACAAAAAAGAAAACTACGAAAATCCGTTTTTAAATTATTGCAAAAAATCCAAGAAGAAACGTTTTATCAAAGAACATTTTTCCTTCGATTTTTCGCAATAATTTTAAAAATGGATCTTTCATAGTTTCCCCCCCTCAAAATAACTAATCTATGAATTAATTTACTTGCGCCAAAAAATATTTTCTTTTCCTTTAAAGAAATTTTAAACGATATTCATTTTATGAACTTTTGATAATGTGACCTTCGAACTTCGACACCGGTTTCGAGCTTTGGCGACAGATATATCGCGCATGCACAGCTGTTTCCCTTTATGATGGAATGAAGCCACCTCTGTTGCAGAGAGGTTTTCCTTCTTTAGAATACATATTCTTTCATTCTAATCTTCATGGTACCGTATACTAGGATTAAACCCATTTTGTTTTATACCAGAACAGGTACTTTCTTTAGTTCATGCATTGCACATGCGATTCTGGAGGTTACTGGAAACCAAATGTTGCGGGAAACTTGCTTTGCCTTTCTAAAAGACAAATTGGAGCTGCGAAAATTGGCTCTATGCCAGCTGCGCGAAAGACACTCACGTGATACACAATTCGCCAAAAAACAAAATCTCTTTCGACGTCGGCGCAAAACTCGCCTTTTTTGGTGGGATCGTTGTATGAAATTCCCCGACTTTTCCACATTTTGACTAAAACACTTAAATTCCCTGACTTTTCCTTGAATTTTTTGGTCAATTTCCGAATTCCCTGACTTTATCCGGTTTTCCCGGTAGCACGGCAACCCTGTGGACATAGGGTGCCATCTAGTGGTCTTCAGAAAAACGTTCCAGCTTAATATGCGTGTATGCATCAACCGTCCTCTGAACGCAATCTCTAGTGATGCGTGGATGGGATGCCCAGCTGTAAGAGACGTTCTTAGGGAATGTGTATATGAGATGCCCATCCTGAAAGGGTTAAACAATCTTAAACATGATCACTTTAATTTCAGTAGCAAAATCTTAATCATTATGCTATTTTGGAGATTAAAATTTTTTTTTAATTGTACGCATTTTCATAAAACTATCAAATGCAATAGAAAACCAATTATTTTGATAAAAATTACAGTATTAGGAACCATAATTATAAAAAAAATTAATACTTTTAATATGATACTTACTTTGTCTTTTAATGCTAAAATTTCAGTCATGGATATCAAATTGGGATTTTCATTTTCTGAATCATCTTTTTCTTTCCATTTACTTATAATATTTTCAAAATCTTGCTTACTGTAAGAAAACAGCAAAAGCTTAGATTATTCAGTTTGAAAATATAAAGAATTACCATAAATATAATATTTTTATATGAATAAGTTTACTTTTAAATATAGTTCATATCTAAAACAGAAAGGCCTAATTGACAGAAAATTGTGGGAAAGAAAATTAAAACTTACCTACATTCCTGAGGTGGTTTTGTGATATCAGGGATAACCATTACGTCAGAATAATCTATACGAAATTTACTTAGAAGAGCTGCCATACTTAAAAAAGAAGAAACAAAATAAATTGAGCAGTTATACATATCTGCTAAAATATTATTCATTTTACAGAATTTCGTAGAGAAATCTTGCATGAATTGAAATAATTTCACTTGAAAATGATATAATGAAATTCAGAAAGGGGGGGAAGTAGCACTATTCATTCAGTAATGGAATTAAAAGTAAGATAAGTTATTAAAAAAATAAATAAAATAAAAATCATGTTTATTAATAGTCAAAACTTTGCACATACATTTAAAAATACAAGCAATAAAATTAACTTTGCATTAAACTAAAGCAAACATTTTATAGTTGTAATCAAATGAAAATTCCTTTAATTTATACTTGTATATCATAGTGTAAGATGTGTATTTAATTATGGCAAAGCACACTAGGGCTATCTGCCTAAGGGGAGGGATGCCTTCGTGGAGGACTTTCTAAGGGAAACTGGCTCGTATACATGTTACACATGGAGAAAAACACGAAAACACCCATGCAGCCAGCCCGTTCGCAGGATTCGAACCTCTGACCGAACTACCAGTGTTCAGCGACTTTACCGCTCGGCCGCTGGTGGGTTGCATATCATAGTGAACAGACCAAACATTTACTTCTGGTCTGGGGTTAAATATGGCATGTTTTCTTATACGTAATTGAAATACATATACATTCCCCATACTGCAGAAAATGGATTCAACAATGCAAACAGGATATTATACCATATAAAAGGCATATTATTTACAATTTTGCACAAAAAACGAAATATTTAAAAATATAAAAAATCAAGTTACATTTCTCCATGTTACTATCATCGACCTGATAATATTAACAACCAGTTCTGAAATTTTGATATCTCTTAAAATGTTCAAGCAAGTAAACATGCCACTCTTCACTATAACTTTGTCTATATGTTTATGAATCTTTTGCCTCTTTGAGAGTGACATGGTAAAATATATTTATTACAACAATCTGTAATAAAAATGGCAGACAAGAATTATATACATGTGGTTATGGCTTCAACAGATATGGATTGTTACACTTGCTTGGTCTGATTTCAGAAATTGTCCATTTGCTGTGTTTCTGCAAATTGTTTCCAGATCAGTCACAACTTAAGTAGGTACTGCATGGAAACAGGTATTAAATGGTAACACTCTAAAAGAAATCAATATTTTTGCATGCATATGGATTTGTAATAGATTGAATGCACACAGGCCCAATGTTAAGTTGATAAAACTTATTTTATCAAATGAAACACTTCAGAGTTCTGAAACTTTCCAAAAAAATATTCCTATAAATCTTTACAGTACCACAGAGTACAATCAGTAGTGACACTTCAAACTACTAAGAATGTTAAACACAATGCAATGCAAAGCACAGCTAAAGAACGATGCTAAACCAGAGATAGTACTTGGAACTCAAGCTAAATAGTTAATAACAACTGAGAGCAGATACTCAATCTAGCCTTATATAGTTTTTACCCCTGGCCACATATATATTTCTAGTACTTTCTGCTTCTTGAAATTATTGGAAGGCAATATGAGAATCGAATTACGGTTACAGAAAATAAAATGGTCAATTACGCAATAATTTCAGTAAATAAACAAATCAAATACTGAATCAATAAATGATTGCACAAATTTATCAATTGAGAAACAAACAGGACCATGGTCTTAGTATACTCTTTACATTATATACACTATGGGAACTATGTACTATGGGCATAGTAAGGGGGTAGCCTGTCATAATGAACGACTTTAGAATTTGATGACTTACAGATCTGAACTATGACATTGTTCAGCCTGTTTAGGACAGTGTAAAGGCCATCACAGGGTGGCTGTTTTCCTTTCAGATGAATCGGATTCCATAACCACACCTTGTCACCTTCATTTAATCCACGTCCTGTAGTTCTCGTGTCAGGGCGAGTCTTCTGCTCCGTCATCAAATTGACTTGCTCTCGTGCACAATTGTGCATCACTTCCACCATGCATGGAGAGCTTCGACGAGATCTTGGTACAGGATGCCCGGTACAAGTTGCTGTTTCGAATACGGAGTTGAGTACCCAGTATTGTTTTCTCATAGGACTATAGATTGAAACGTCCCACCAGGTAGGTTTCCTGTTTGACGACTCAATTAATTCACTTATTGGCTTAATGTTGCCATCTTCCAAGTGGTCTTTCCTGACTTTTTCCTCACTCTATCTATTTCAGTCAGATGAAGTTTTAACTTGTTGTGCAACCGGATAAAGCTGCTCGTACTTCACTTCGACCCTGGAATAATATCGGAAGCTTTCTGGGCAGGGTCTTCTTGACAGGGCATATGTTTTCATGTGATCATCTTTTCCCATGATGGATACATATGTCATATTCCCGGCGTATCTGTATCCATCAAGCTATTTGGCTTTCAGGATTCCTGAAATTTAAGATCCAGGTCAACAATGCATGATCCGTGTACAGCAGGAATTTTCTGGCATAAAGATAGTGATGGAAATGTTCTATGGCTTTAACTATGGTAAGCAACTACTTCCTGGTGACAGAGTAATTCCTCTCCTGTTTAGAGAGACAATTGCTCCAGTAGGCCATGACATCTTCTTGACTGTTTATTTTTTGCAGCAAAACAACACCGACACTCTCTGTGCCTGCATTCCTTTTACATATAATAGCTTTGTTAATGACATCACAAAACCGGAAAATCTGACTAGATGGCTTCTCATAAAATTTGATTCTTTGTATAAGGTCATTGAATGTAAGGGACTCTTGAATGGCAATCATGATAAATTAAAAAAGTGTTAAGTCTACATACCTACAACTTATTTCCTGGGGAAGGAATCTACATTATCTTGATTTTGGAATTATCAATTCCTGAATTAGCTTTTGATCTATTGTATGAAAATCTTGCCACATGAACAAAGTGCCCATGTGACCAAAGGTGAGAAATTACAAAATGTTTTGAATAACTTAAATTTGATAAAATATCCCCTTGCCCTAACAATATGTTATAATTAATGAATGCAAAAATATGAAGTAAAATTACTAAATACTAACTTGCGCTGCTCCCTGGCAAGTTCATCTTTCTTATTGGCTAAGGAGAAAACTCTCAGTTTGCAACTACTCCACTGAGAATGTGTTGTTAGAAGATAAGGTATCAGCATTGTCAGGCCTTAAAGTAATTAAAGAAATTATAATATTTAACTATTAAAATAAGCAAAAAAAGGCGGGGTTATTTTCTTAGCAATTTAAAACATACCTCCATCATCATACAGCCACCAGACATCAATTGTTCCTTTTTTCTGTTTCCTTTGGAACTGATTCACAGAAGTGAGGACATCTTTTGGAATCGCTTTAGACAGACCTCGTACAACCTGGGTGCTGCTTACACCTTGATTATTTTCTTCTCCTGGATTCTTTCTTTCAGTAGCTGGAGTTGATGGTGGGGAAGATTCACGTGAACTACCAGCTGAACAATAAAAATAATAATACCTTAATACATTTAAAAGAAATATTTAATTATTTTATATTTTCTATCAAAAAGTAACATGTTAATCCACTAAGAGAAATATGATAATATTTGAATGGAAATTCAAAGCAGTTACATCAAATTTATTAAAAATTGTATTTATAAATTTTCATTTCTCCTGGGGAAGAGAGGGACTTCGGATCCATACATGACAGAATTTTTTTTATATTTGGCAAATTAAGACTTCATTTTCTAAATCTGGTAGTTTAGGCACTGAGAAAACAATTACTGCATGTAGCTTCTATTAGCTTCTTCCACATAAAATATAAATATGAACCAATCTACTAATTATAACACACTTTATTAAAAAAAAGGCATTATAAAGTTACTTAGTAAGGTTAAGTTAGCGAGCTTAGGCGAAGAAAAGAATATCACATACATTTTTAAAAAATTCTAATAATAAAATAATAATCATTTTAAAATGGCACTGAGCTTCTATTTTGACATTATTTTTAATAGTATCAGTTATATATAATATTTCATACAAAATAAAAGAGTTATAAAAATATTCCTTTTGTTATTTCATAGCTTAGGCAGATGTCACAATATATCTAAAATGTACGTATTAAATGTTGGAAGCAAATGATACAAGTTTGATGTAATTCAGATCTGAATTATTATGATTTTAATGAATTTATAAAAAAATGCCATTAGAACTTGAAATATTTTAATAAGATATATCACATACTGATTCTGAGTATGCTGCTCTTCAGCCCCCTCCCAAGATAAAGCTTGTGTATATAAACATGCATTTAGTTTTCAATTTTAATACTTTAACTGGCTTATGAATATTCCTTGGTATCATTCACTGTAAATAAATTTCTCAGATTACTGAAAAATGATTTACGCATATGAAATGCAGCACACAAGGCAAATTTAAATTATTAAATATCCTTAATACTATTAATAAAAAAAAAATCTGTGGCTATTAAGATGCTAGATCATTAAATGGATCTTTCACTTCTGGATATGAACTTAAATAATAATGAATGAAAAAACTGCATATTCACAAGCATTCACATAATGGCTTACTAATCAAAACTGTCATAAGCAAAACTTTATTGCTAGGCAACTGGACCATATGACAGCAGGGAAAACTGCTGTAAGGATTTTGCTTAAATGCTCTAAATTTTTATAGCTTTCTATCAAGATGGATATAAAGCAATCAATCATAGCAAAACAAGAAAGCAGTAGATTTAAAGATACATTCAAACACATGGAAATTAACCTCTTCTGACACTGGGTATGGCTATTTGAAGGTGTGAATAAAGTTCACTTTCATGCCTTATGACAGTTGTGATGTTTAAACCGTCATGAGAATGCTTCCTTAGTTTCATAAAAATAATTAAAGCAACATAAAAACAAGATAAATTTTTTTTGCCCTCCACAAAGTCCCCAGAAAAATACATGTACTATTATATAATGTCATACCTTGTGATAACTGGGCACTAGATAGATTTCTAGGAAGCCCATCACTTGGTTCAGGTTTTAAAAATGAGGGACGTCTTGCTTTCTTTCCATTTGATACAGGGATTTCTGCTATTTCCTCAATATCATTGAATTCAGAATAATCTAAGCCTTCTTGGAGACGGAGAATTCCTAAAGACAAGTGCTTGTCAAATGATTCACTGCAAATAAGAACATCAAGTTTTTTTTAAAATAAATTTTATTTAATTTTTGATGTCTAATATGATTATTCATAAATTATGGCATGACCTTGATGTACAATAATTTTGTTAAAGAAATTTTTTGGTGGCTTTTATGCATTTTGTGATGCTGATTTTTATTAAAAAATGAGAATTCCCCCCACTAGACCCCATATTTGTATAATAGAAGACAGTTCTGTTTCAAAAGGCATATGGAGTTTCTCAGTTAATCATCTAAAGGTTAAACCAAGGCTGGCAGCTGTGCAACCATCTAGGCATAAGCTTCTACCCCAAATGGAATTCTGAAGAACACTCCGGGAAGTGGTCTGAGAGTCTTCTTCCCCTTTTTAACAGTACCAAATTCTAGAGAGGATTTCAACTATCTGTGTATTTTGAATGCCCCTTTCCTAAACATATCCTATATGCTTACAAACACCCATATCTTCTCTGTGCCCTTCGGTATGGCATTTAGTGATCTCAGTTTATATATATTACAACCAGTCAATCTTCTCTGTGCCCATATCTTCTCTGTGCCCTTTGGTATGGCATTTAGTGATCTCAGTTTATATATATTACAACCAGTCACTATTGCTGCGATGACCATGTTCACTATATCAATTTAGCCCCAAATTAAAAATTCTGCTGAAATACTGACCAAGTTTAAATCAATGGAATTTCTTAAAATTGCACCTTTTATGACAGGCATGGTGCTATTAAAACATTTATTTTTCTTATGAAACAAACTTATCATTTTGAGTTCTGGAATAGTTTATATTACTCTGCAGATTGAAGGCTGTTCTTAAGACTCCTTAAAAAGAAGCTCTTACAAGAGTAAGTTTTATAAAATTTATTTTCTGATGATGCAGACTCATAATTTGAGTTTTTGGGGTACCAGCACTATCCAGAAGAATAAAGGCTTTTCATAGATGCTTCAAGATGATACTTAAAAAGCATTCCTGTTTCATAATAGAAATAACTGCCATACTTTATTATACTGTACACATGAAACTTTTACTCAGAGGTATAAATTGTGAAAAGTAATATATCAGTATTGTTCTGAAGGAGTTAGATCACTCCTTATATATTAAACATTTTTTTTTTTTATGTGTGAGTGAGATAGCAGTGACAAAGAGAAATGTTATTTTAGAAAATATGGATTAAAAGAATATTAACCCCAAGAAAGAAAAATATAACTGAGTGTTTAGTATTGCAAAAAAGTTATTTCTGATTTCACAACAATCTATATTCCATAAAACATTCTTGAAAAAATAAGGAATAGAAATGGAAAGAATTATCATTTTTAAGAAATATCACCCCCCCCCAAATAAAAGGGCATTCTTTTAAATCATTAAATAAATTAATTAGCAAGTGATCCTGAACTTTTGAAAGTGCACTGAATAAAGTTGATAAAGCATCATAATTTTTCAAAAGCATACAGAATTACAAAGAATTAATTATTGACTTCTCAGCAATCCTTAAAACATCATACAGAATTATGAAGAACTAATTATTGATTTCTGAAAATTAAAAACTATTAACTTGTAAAATGCAATTTAAGATTAGTTTCTGCAGACTTAAATCTTGACTCTTTTCCAGAGAGCTAACGAATAATAAGTAACAAGCATGTAGAATGTTTGCATCAGAATGTGTACAATGAAAACATATTTTAAAGAAAAACTGAATTCTAAAATTCTAATTTACTACTATTCGGCAACAAAATTGTAATACCAGGGTTAAAATAAAATATTAAAAGAAAAAAAAAAAAAAAAAAAAAAAAAAAAAAAAAAAAATCAACTATTGTTTCATTCTAAGGTAATCACAATTCATCATACTTGTTTATAAACAAAAAAATAATATACATATATATAAATTCTGAAACTTAAAATTACTAACTTTGGCTATATCTCCTCCCTGGAATCTAAACCATATCACATAAATAACTAATCACATCTGCATTGCCGTAAAATCTTATCTAATTTGTCATTCAGAATTTCAATAAAAGATTTGTCTCTTATGTATAAGCCTTAATGCAAATGCTGAAATTCTACTATGTCTTGCCTTCTAGTGCATGTATAGTGTACGTTTTGCTGTATTATCTATTGTCGAAAAATGCAGTAAGTGTACACAAATGTGTGAAAAATTGCTTTGACTTGACTCTAAAAAAATCATACTGTATAATATTATGCAGTTAAAATATGCAAAATTAGAAACCAAAGAAAAAACGAGCTAATTTATATTCACCTAATAAATGTTTAACTCAGGAAAAATGCAAAACTACTAAATAACTGTTGCTAAAAAACAGTAATTAAATTTTTAAATTAAATTTAAGGCAACAAAATCAAGTCATTTACCTAAAAAGTAAAACAAATAAGAATCTTTCAAGTTAGTTTTTGCATAAATAAATAGTTTTCAAATTGAGGGAAAATTTTATAAAGCAACAAGCCTAAATCTGGGAGATAATTCAAAAAGAAAAGAGCCCAAATTTTTGGAAAAAGAATGAATTAAATAATAAATAGTAATATATATTTTTACCTGTTAGCTTAGCTTACTACCTTTTTTGATTTAGTTATTACTTCTTGATATATATATATATATATGTTACTATGAAAGACCAAAATTGGAGAATGTCGACATTCAACGGTGAATGTCAACATATACCAAATATGTCGGTGAAAGACTGAATATTTCATTATATTCTTGTACATTCGGACCATTACCGGTGTATATTGACAATCCCAGATATACTGTGGTGGAGGTGGAAGAGAAGTCGAGGACAACAGAAGCCAATGTGCCAAATGCCAAAGTCCTTATAAAGCCACGTTTGGCATTAAACAAGAAGAGGCATAGCATCTTTTTTGCCTGGCGAACAAATTGTAAATTTTGAAACCAAAGAGCAACTCGAAGAAATTGTTAATACTTTTGAAACCGAAGAACAGCTTGAAGAAACTGTTAATACTTTTGGAGAAAATCTGAGCAGTGACCATACAAAAAACCACATTCCAAAGAAAAAATTGAAGAGGACCAGCAGCCTACCACATCTTCATATCAAGCCCTGACTGAACAACACAAGTTTATTTCTATGAAAAGACCAGCCGCAAAAGAGAATCTTCTACTGCAAACAACAAACATGCTTAAAAAAAAAAAAAAAAAAAAAAAAAAAAAAAAAAAAAAAACACTCCTGCCCAAATTGGTGATATTCTAAGAATATACCGTACGAATACAAGTTCCTGAAGTCGACCATGGTCGTACAGATGGCCAAGATGTGTTGCCAGTTGTTGGAATAGAAGACTCCGACTTTTATAAACTAGCAAATAAAAATGGCACCTTCAAGCAGCTTATACCCGTCATCAGTTCATAATTTGTAAAGAAAAGTTACTTTCCATAGATAAGATTTCTTCTCAAGAAATATCACTGAGAGAGGCAATTGTAGCTATTTCAAGAAGTGGTGGGCAAGGCTATACATGCTGTCACTGCAAAAGGAAGTGTTCCACAACTAAATGCAGTTGTAAAAGCAAGGGACTTTTGTGCAATTCAAAATGTCATAAAAGCTGCTGCAATATATAAGATTTCAATTACATAATTAAGTTTTTTTTTGTATTATTTTCTTTTCTCATTTAGAATGTACTGTTTGAGTTCAAAAACATATTTACATGTTCTGTTACTTAAGCTTTTTCGTATTTTGACATATATGGTGTAAATGCAAAAGTACAAACAGGATATTATTTTATTTTCCATGTGCAATTTTGATGATTCAACATATTTTCAAGACTTTAAAACAACCAAGGAAGACATGCCTTTCATTCATAAATCATTTTGAAAATATGCAATTAATGCAGTCAAATACTCACAAAGTAATTTAAAGAAAAATACTAGTTACTTACTGAATTATATTGAAATATTGCTGAACTTCTTCAATATCACACTCTTGCCAATTTGATTTGTAGCCCATGAATACAACATTTGGTCTCATTTTACCTACACCAGTAGCCTAGAAAATCAATAAGATAATTAGTAATAAAAAAACTACAATAATCTATTTCTTTTAATCTATAAAATTATACTTTCACTAAACATTTTAAATGAACTTCTGCTACATTTATCATAACAACACTTTCCCAGTGCTAGACTAGTTTTAACTAAAGAGTAATCAGCAATACTTTCACCTTTATTTGTGCCAGTTTTTTATGCTAAATTACTTTTTTTTTAAACCGCACAGAGTAATTTTTTCAGGTATTTGCATTTAAATAATTTTAATTAATGATAATTAGAAATTTTTTTTTTAAAATTAGGACAAATATTGTCAATTGCTAATTATTTTGCATTAAAATTCACCTAATACCTGTAATAAGGAATGGCAGAATAAAATCAGAGTTAATAATGAATTTTTTATAACCTGCATAAGGGAACGAGCTCCCCTTGAAAAAGATTCATCTTCAACCAAAGTGTAAAATGCTTTGATTTTCCGTTTATGCAGAAATTGATAAGCTTGTCTATTATAAGCATCCCTTACTTTTTGGCTTATTTTATCCTGAAAGAAAAACATATAAATTACACATGTTTATAAATAAAATTTTAAAGCATTGAATTACAGAAACAAAAACATTCACAAATACACATAGAATTTTATTTCCTTAAAATAAATAACTGAAAACAGCTTAAGAAAAAATAGTTCTTGATGTACACATAAATAGAATGACTAAATTTGGCCACAAAATGTGGTCAGTTACTGCCGACTGTTCATGTATGATAGGCATGTATATTATTAATAAAGCTTTTCACATTTTTATTTTCAGAAATGATTCAATGGAGAACTGGAGGCATTTAGAGTTGCAACTGAACAAATTATTGTTACAACAATCCAACTCAAAAATATTGTCATTTTCTTAGACTCCTTTTCAACCATTCAAGTGATTTCTGCACATAATGTCGTGGAATAAAAAAAAAAATATAGAATCTTGCAGAACTCTTTCCCTCCCCATAGTCTTAAAATGGATGACTGTTGTCTTATCACTGGATCCCAGCTCATGTTGGAATAACTGTCAATGAATAGGCCTTAAAACTGGAACTGAAATTGTGCAATTAAATAATAGTGGGGTACCATTTCCATCAGTGAGAAGAACAGTAAATAATGCTTTGAGGAAAAAAAATTTTATGTTAACACTAGAATTACGAAAACGAATTGGACATAACTTTTTTAATTCTTTATTTATAACTTTGATATTTTTCTGTTCATTTTAAATGATTATTTTAGACAGTATTATTGTTTATACCTAGAATTACGGCTATCGGTCATTGTAACCGTATCCAGAAAATTATACATTTCTAATACTTTTATGACATTTTTAGCTATTTCCGGTTTGCTGATAGATAAACAGGTGTATTTTTCATAAGGAAGATTGCACATTTCACAGAAGTGAGAAGGAGGGAATAAAAACACACCTGTTTGGAATTTTTAAGTGCCACATGTCTGCACATTTGACTTGTCTTAGAGAGTTTATTTTTCAGTAGACACAAATGTACTTTATTTGCATAGTTTTGTTGTTCTGACCTGTTTATCATGTCACGTAGGAAAGTTGATAGAAAATACCTAACGAGGAAGGGATTTTGAAAGTCTTTCTGATGATAATTCTGCTTCAGAAACTGAACCTGATGAAGAATTTCATTCTAAAACTACATCCAGTTTATCCGGGGAGAACTAGATTGTTCCTACTGAAACAAGTGAATCCGATTCGTCTGATAAAGAATCTTTTCACGAAGCAGAAAAATGCAGTCAATAACTCAAAAAAAAAACTTAAGTAAAACTTTAGATCAAGATCCCCAACACTGCAAACTCATCCATTTGCCCTTGTTTTGGTTATATTGAATGCTTCCATAGAAAACTACCAGGTTGTTCAATAAGTTCGCAGAACGGAAATGAAGAAACCAATTTTTATTTGTAAAAATGACTTTATTTTTCAACGTAGTTTCCCTCGGTTTCAATATACTTATTCCAATGGTCTTCTAATTTATGGATCTCTTGACTGTAGTGGTTTTTCAGCAGCTCTGCAAAATATCCCCCCAAGGCAGCTATTACCTCTTCGTTTGAAGAAAATCGTTTTCCACGGATATATTGTTTGAGGTGTGGGAAGAGCCAGAAATCGGAGGGAGCTAAATCTGGCGAATAGGCTGGATGTTGCAACAATTCGTACTTCAATTCAGTTATTTTAGCAATGGCTTTTGAGCTGTGTGCGCAGGTGCGTTATCTTGGTAGAAAATGATTTTCTTCTTCTTCTGTAATTCTGTAATCCGGGTCTTCTTTCACGAATTTTTTCGTCTAATTGATTCAAAAGGTTACAATAATAATCCAAATTAATTGTTTTGCCAGTTTGAAGGTAATCTATAAACAAAATTCCTTTCCCATCCCAAAAAACTGATGCTAACACCTTCTTGGCTGATTTTTGCACACGATCTCGCTTCGGCGCCGAAGAGCCGGGTTCACGCCACTCCTTAGCCTCCTGTTTTGATTCATGATCATGATGGTACACCCAAGTCTCATCTATTGTGATAAATCAACGGATAAAGTCGCTTTTATTCTTCTTAAAACGTTCCAAATGTTGCTGGCAAAGACGCATCCGAATGTGTTTTTGCTCCATCGTTAGAGAATGCGGCACCCATTTTGCACAGTTTTTTTTAACCCAAATTAACACTCAAAATATTGCTCACTGTGCTCAATGAAATGCCTAAAGCCTCTGTTAAATCTCTTTCAGTCAATCGACGGTCTTCCAATACCATATCTTGTATTTTCCGACGATTTCCGGTGTTGATGCAGTTTTTGGACGTCCCTCTCGCGGATCGTCTTTAAGGCTGGTACGACTACTTTTGAATAAACTAGCCCACTTGCAAACCATTGTTTTTGAAGGAGCAGATTCACCCAACACATTCACCATTTCGGTATGAATTTCCATTGCCTTTAAACCTTTCTTTACAAAGAATTTGATAACTGCACGTTGCTCAATTTTATCCATACCTGAAAAAAGGCACAACACGTTAGATATAAAGGGCGGTTAAACAATGAATAAATTAACAGATTGAAATGAAACTTTTGACATGTTCTTAAGATAAAACAAATATGAAAATGGAGTCGAAGTTTTAGGTCTAATATTGCGAATAGATGGCGCTCTGTGAACTTATTGAACAACCTGGTACTTGAAATGTTATAAACTAAGTGAAACTATAACAGTAGATGAACAATTATTTGCCATGAAGACCCAATACTGATTTATTCAGTATATGCCTAAAAAGCCAGACAAGTTTGGCATTAAATTTTGGCTTGCTACTGATGTGTAATCAAAATATGTACTTAACGAATTTCCCTATTTGGAAAAAGATGAAACAAGACCAGCTAGAGAAACAGTTACTGAACATGCAGCTTTTCGTTTGATGGAACTGGTGAAATTAGTAAAAGAAATGAGGAATTCAGGGATAAACTGCATTGGTACAATAAATCGTTCCTCATTCTTTTAAAAATATGAGGGATGAGCTCAATTCTACCAAGATTGCTAAGCATGATAACATAACACTTACATCTTATGAAGGAAAGAAAAATGGAAGTCCTACTCCTGAGTACCATGCATTCAACATAGGAAATTGCATCTGATGAAAATAATACACCGGAAGTGTGAATGTTTACAATTTGACCAAATATGGAGTTGATGTTTTGGACCCGATGGCCAGAAAATACTCAGTGAAGTCCTCATACAGCCGTTGGACAGTTATTTTTTATTATTTTTTTTTTTTAATGTTCTTGACTTGGCCATGATAAATGCATGGGTAATTTACAAGGAAACAATTGAATATAACGTGATTTTATTTTGAATATGGCTGAGGAGCTTCAAAAGATATACATTTCATCCAAAATTCACAAACTTTCTCTAACTTATCTTTCCTGTAAACTTTTCTAACGAAAAGAGAATTGGTACTTGGGTCAACCCTTCCTGCATAAACAATGCCAAATAAATGCATGCAGAGGCAACAAAACTTTGAGTACATGTGAGTACCGTATAAAATATGTTTTTGGAACCTGTACAAGCAAAATTAAAAAATTAGTAATCTGTATTCACTGCAAAACCAAGCAATATAAGAACTAATATGTGTAATTTTTAATATATTTATTTCATATTGAAAATTTTTATAAGGCAATTTATTAAATGATAAGAAGTTTAAAAATATCTAGAGGTTTTTTTTTTCCCTCTTTTAGCCCTTTGTTATATATTAAATTATCCTTCGATTAATATATTTACTCTGCTTTATTTTCCTCTGTTACATTAAATTATCTTTTGGTTGCATTATTTACTCGGTTTACTTTATTTACTTATTAAACAAGCAAAATATATTTGTTATAAGCATTCATTTTATATAATATTAGCAAAAAGCGAGCCTTTTCTTCTATCTGGAACAAGTGGTCAAAATGACTGCTAAGAAATTAAGAATAAGTAGAAGGATTCGATTTGTAATATCCTGGACTCTCCCAGGCAGCATTCCATTTGCAGTGGCAGCATTCCATTTTAAGACCAGACATGATTGTCTTACTAAACATCTGCACAACATTGGTATATATGATGGTCTCTTGTGCACTTTGTGCAACCAGAATTAAGATGGACAGAGATCAATTGTTAAAATGCTACTCTTTGGAGAAAGAAAATCTTATATAATTAATATTGGCGGGCTAGAGATATGATGCAATTGACATTCAGTGACTAATTCCCTGCACTTTTAATGTAGCTATTGTTATTGTAATGAGGTTAATTAATGTTTTTTCTTTTTGTAATTCTATTTTTTCATGCTCCAGTCTCCTGCATGTTTGAACATAGGCGTCACTGATGTAAAATAAACTGCCTTTGGAACAACAACAACTGGAAATAATAATAAAAAGAAAATCTGAAGGTTTCAGAAATGTTAAGATTTGTTTCAGAGTGTCGTCAGAGTTAAGTTTTGCTGAGTTTGTTAATCAAAAATTCATTAAAGTTTTAAAAAATATGAAATCGATAATAAAACCAATTCCAGTTTTGGGCTTTCAGATGGCCATATTCACAGTAGGATTACGTCATTCTAAATTGGATGGCTCTAGGTACCGTTGTTTTATCACAATGTGAGAAACATACATACATTTATGCAGATTCTTCTTTATTTAATTTCTTCATATATAATACAGGGTGATAGTATTTGGTGGCAACGATTTGAAAAGTGATACAGCCTTTTAAAGTTTTCAATGCAAAATCGCAAAACAAAAACAATAGTTCTTCAGGGACAAAGCCCCTTTGGACTAAAAACTTCAGTAAAGACATATTTATTAATAAAATTGCAATAAAAGTAAAAATTACAAACATTTCAAATTCCCAGTAACAAGGTAGTTTTCTTGCTCTAATAAATTTTCTGGGAAAAGCATGAATAGAAATGATAAAATAAAATGCTTTGTTTAAATCAAAGTATGAAAAAAGAATCTGCATCATTCCACACCAAATCAAACAGCAATATGGTTTAATGATAATAATACACACATGCAAAGCACTGAAAGTTCATATACAACAAAATAATACACGAAAATAATATAACCAGAACAAAAATAAATCATTTAAATTTTTTTAAAAATATATATAACTCTGTTTCAGGTAATTTTGCCCCACATATGAATCTACATGAAAATAAAAAAAACTTTATTGCTACAAAAAGTGGAGGTTATTAAATGAAGAAAATCTATACACTAATTTTTTTATTCAGTCTGAATTATGGTAATGGAAAAATATACATGTGATCCAAAGATGTGATATTTGTGTATTTCTCTCTCCTCCTTTTTCTGCAAAGAAATCAAGAAGCGAGAAATACATATGAATACTTTTCACAGCTACTTAATATACTGATTTCCTTTGTTAAAAATACAACCAATTGTCTGTATATATGAACTGGCTGAAAACAAAAAGTGGATGCAATACAGCTGACATATTCTCGTAAGCAAAATAAATCTCACCTTAATTATATGACCACAAACCATCAGACTTATCTTTTTGGTAATATGATATGTAAAGTCAACAAGAGGAGGTCTGCTGCTAGGACATCCAGTTAATACCAGAATTTGAGGCCTGAAAGATTATTTTAAGTGGATTATTTATTGCTTTACAGCTAGCTAAATTCTTTTAAATATCTTCCACAATGAATAAAACCACTAATAACATGTAATATTCAAATACAGCATAAACATTTTCTGATTTTTAACTCATACATCGATTATTAAAAATTTAAGTACAAAATTCTGCCTAGTTCTTTCTAATGAATAAAAAAGTTTGCTTTATTGTGATAAATTTATATCTCTTTCAAAAGTAAATATGTATTTAGAAATTCATGGCATGCTACAGGTTTGCAGAGGGCTGGAGAAAAAAGATCCTCTTATACACATAAAGAGGACATTACATTTAGATTTTGTTTAGAATTTTATATCAAAGCAATTCATGATTTTGAAACAAACAGCATTTTACAATTGCTTAACAAATCAATTGATGTACAGGAAACCCAATGAAGAAAATAAGTTTGACAGAACTCTACTCTGTTTTATTGTAGTAATACAGTTTTCTTATTTGCAAGGAAAAGATCCCTTGATAATTACATTAAAAATTCACTAACTATTCAAAATATCACTAGATTACATATTTAGAAATTGTTTAAAATATGTTTCTAATAGTTAGGCAATAATGTTACAGCTGCAGAAAGAAGACAAAGGAAGCAAAAGTTTTTGTCCATATGATGACTGCACTAGAAGTACACATGCATGAAACATACTTTAAAAATATTTTCTGGTTCATAATTTAGTTTCCAGTTTTTCTCCCACTTAGTTTAAAATAAAACACCAGTTTTACTGAAAGATATTGACAAATTTTTAAAAATTAATTTTTATCTTTCATCTAAACCTCATTATCATGTGTGCTTTAAATATAAATTTTAACACTCTCTATCAAAGAAATTATGGTACACAGTTTAGAACTGAAAAGTTCACCAGTTTGATATGTGTTACACATACAAATGAAAATAATCAAATGTAAGAAGCAAGCAAGCAAACAAACAAACAAACAAAAAAAAAAAAAAAAAAAAAAAAAAAAAAAAAAAAAAACTGTACCTTAACCCTTTTCTGAGGTTGGACTGATTGGAGAGATTTTTTCCTCCCTATAACTTTTGAACTTGGAATCTGCCACTGGCAGTAAACAACAACAACATTAAACGTTTTGTGCGTTACCTTTATTATTTATTAAATATCATGTTCTTCGCACTCCTGTTGCAATTGCTCGCTTTGAAATCACTAAGTTTCTTAATCAAAAACTCACAAATGCTTTACAAAATATGAAATAGATAATAAAACACATTCCAAATTTGGGCTTCCAGATGCCCATATTCGGGTGGAGACGTATGGTATTCAAAATTTGATGGCTCTAGGTACTGTTATTTTATCACAATGCAAGAAACATACATACATTAATTAGCATTAAATTGTAAAATTTATTGAAACATAATATTTTACACTTATAACAGTCTATTATATTTTAAAGAAGATGAGTGACTTTAACTGTTAGCTTTATACTGAACCTTTCTTTTATGCCTTATTTCATCATGTACTTGCTGTTGAAAGGTAGCTGCTCCATGTCTGAACCAGTTAGTCTCGTAACTTTGTGTAAATTTCTACAGTTGTAACCCAGTTAATATAAAGTTCCAATAAGCCATTGAAGCACCAGAAGTGATACATTGTTTTGTATTATTTTAAGTCTGATTAGTTGTAAGGAATAAAGTTTTATGTTAATTTTTACATTTTTTTGTGTTGTATCTCACATCCACAATAAGGATTAAGGAAAGGCTGTAACTCAATATGTAGAGATAACTTTTAAAGATAAGCAGTTAATTACAAATAATTAAATTATGCATTAAGTATCCTTTAATTATAAGATTTACATGGTTATAGTTACATTCTTTTTTTATTTCTAAAAAATATCAATTAAAAATGCACAAAGCACTAAGAGCATTTTACACCAGTTATAATTTATTTCATGCATCAAAAACTACAACAAAACAACAAAATACTTATGTATCTTTTTAATTTGAAAATTTTCCAGAGTCCATATTTTAGTTACTTTATATCAGCTTCACTCTCTTTAGCATCTTTTCTAAGTTTATTTGTTTCAAAAAATTAATTCAATATTTCTACTAGTCTCTGCTTCATCTCCTAATTTGTTAATGCTCCAATAATGCCTTTCTGAAGAATAACTTTCCATCTTTTATAAAATCTATTTCTTCTTCAGTGAGTTTCCCTTTCACTTTAGAATTTTCTGATTTAATTAAAGATCTCTGTTACTCTAAAGAACTGAAGAATGTCTAGAAAAAACTGTTAATTTTATTTCTTTAATAATATAAGTATTAAAAATAAATATGAAATGATAAAATGTCAGGGCTGGTGCAGGGCCAATGTGGCAGAAATTTTAGAATTTAGTGAACCACCAATCAACAAAATCTACGGATGCAATAAAATAAAAATTTTAACAATTTAGGGCAGGCACTGAGTTTTATGTATGGTGCACTGAGACATTTAATATCAATCTTTTAATAAATTGTTGGTTTTAATTTTCATTAATTGCTTCAATACTTGTGTCTAGTGAAAAGATAAGAAAATAATGGGAAGATAAACGTGTTAAGAAAAAGACTTATGGGATTAAAAGGAGAAAATTCAAATAATTTTGTTTTCACTTTCTTCCAAAAATTCTTCAAAAGATAAGAAATTCATCATATTTTTCAATGGAACAGAGTGTATTATGTGTTCATACCATGAAGACATTTTACATTGCATCACATTTTTCTGGAATTGTAGATCTATAAATCTTGCCTTTAAATTCTTTGAAACCTTCCAAGATGCTAGATCTAAAATTGCTATCAACACTGGAAGAGCAAAAAGCTAGAAGATTTTTTTGGGGGGTAGGGGGAGAGGGGAAAGATTTTGCAAAGAAAAGTGTAAAGTGAATTCTCAAGAGAAAATTGAGATAGACATTTGATTATCACATGTGAAAAACTTTTATCATGAAAAAATAAAAGACAAATGAAATTAATTTAAAAATAATTACAATAGCCTTTTTTGCCTTTTGGGAATTATGCTTTATATTTAAAGCTTTTTTTTATTTTTTTAATATAAAAATATTCTCAAGTCACAGAAATGAAAAGTAATCTCATTTTAAAATAGAGCAGAAGAAAACAAAAATTCTATATTTCAACATTATTTCTTAAATATGTTTAATGTATTATCATTGTTTTTATGATATTTATCAATGTATGTTTGAAAAAAAAAATTATCCAAACATTCTCAAATCTTTGAATAAAACACTTTGTACACAAACTGATCTTGTGTCTTGATCAAAATGTTGTTCAGTTACCATATTTGGCACTGCATAATAAAAAAAAACTCGTATTTCTCTCTCTATCTCTATATATATATAAAAGAGAGAGAGGGAGTAACTTCGAAATGCTTAAATTTCAAATGAGGCACTGCCTCGTGCCTAAAACTCAAATATCCACTGTATATATATTAAGTAATAGTAAAGAATTAAAAAATTAACCCATCAAATACATTTGTTAATGTATTACCAAAAAACATTCCTCCAAAACGTTAATTCACACTCAAAATGGCAGTGATTTAAAAAAAAAAAAAAAAAAAAAAAAAAAAAAAAAAAAAAAAAAGAGATGAGTGAAATTAAGGTCTTTTTGCTAATTTTGATCAAAGTTAATGACTTTTAAGGACCAAAAATCCTTTCTAAAAAACCTAAGGACTTTAAAGTACCATTTGAATCACATACATAAAAGCATTCGTTTAATTGATAATTTATAAACAATAAGACATTACCAACATTACATAAAGTAATAAAACACACTGCACAGTATAATGCATAAAAACAACCCCACAATGAAAAAATGCAGTACTAGTGTTCAAAATAATGTACTGTGTCAAGGGATTATACATATAAAAAGTTCTTCTCTAGAATATTCATGAATACTTGAGACCCTTACCATAGTGTTTGCACTCATCCAGCACAACTGTGAGTTAGGGTATATGCATATGCAAAGAGTAAAATACAACCTAAAAAATGTATGCAAGATTCCATACATACCATTTTCATCTCCCACTTGGTTATGCTAGTGCAAAATGTGCAGAGAAGTGCTCATGTCTGTTTGCTATGAGAAGACTACACTGGAGATGTTAGAGTTGTATTTTATTTTACACTTGTTTTCACTTGATATGTTTTTCTTTTGAAACTTAAAAGACGGTTTTCTGCTTCTTCTTCTTCTTCTTTTTTTTTTTTTTACTGTAAACTATAGCTACTAACCAACAGGTTAATTATCAAGTACAGTTAAAAAATTCTTCATCAGAGTTTGATAAAATTGAAAACAGAAAGATATGGGAAAGTGGAGATTAGAAAATCTATAATATAATACTGTTAACTATGTATGTCATCAGTCAATGGTAAAGCTTTGTTTTACCACTCTGCAAAACTTTAGATATTTATGTTTCAAATGTATTCAGAAAATTCGACAATATAGGAAAAAAGAAGTGTGTTGCAGCTCACAATATATTTGTTTCAAATTTAATAAACAAACTTAGTGATTTAAAAACAATGTGTTGCCACTGCCTGAATTAAAATATTTTGATCTTTCACAGAGCAGCATTTTGTCATTCAGCCAAGCATGGCATACTTCTCTTACAGATTTATTCGGTTACTCATTAATAAACTAAAGAATTTAAAAGCAACAGACAAAGATTCATTTCAATTATTATTAATTACTAACTAGGCCTGTGAAATAATATTAGCTGGATTCATTAAAATCATCTCTCTCTCTCTCTCTCTCTCTCTATATATATATATATGGTATAATAAAAGCAAGGAAAGACCGGAACACTGTCGATGCGTACATAGATTTATATTGAAGAACTCTGATTGCGTAGTACAGTCAAAAGTCGTTAATCCGGACTCCTTGGGACTTCGGCGATTCCGGATTATAGATCATCAGTTTAAATCTGGTAATATGGCATGCAGAAATCATAAAATTAAAAATATGAAACTATAAGGATAGTACTGTAGTAGTATTAACTTCCAAATAATTGCGCGCCGCAGCGTTTCTCCCCCCACCCCGCGCTGCGGGGCAGCGTGAAATTGATAAACAGATTTCGGAATGGTTAGATAATCAAAGGATATATACTTTATCCATTTTTTGCAGCAATTCATTTTCTGTTTAATGGACTTCGAAATATACTTTCGCTTTATAGATCCTTTACATATTAGTAAATATATATCGAAAATTCTATTTGACATAATCGAAAGTTCAAGCTTACTTTTATAAAATTGCTCTAACAGTCTGCAAAAAATAATAAGCCGGATCCAATTCAAACATTAAGGAACAACGCAATCTGCAACATTAACTGAATTAGATAATTTTAGCTTAGCTTATACCGTCCGTTATACATTAAACGCACAAGCGTAAACATATTATGCGCATGTGCACATGCATATTCGCAGCCTTACGCGCATGCATCAACGCGACGCATGCGCAGAAAGTTTGTAGCTTTGAGGTCCAGATTATAGATCATTCCGGATTATGGGTGTCCGAATTAACGACTTTTAACTGTATGCTAATATGTTGACTTCATAGTATCTAAAAAACTTGGCAGTCGAGGCAGTTTTAATACCATTTTTATTTGCAAATGACTTTCGTGGCCACAATCACTTGGCACTTTAGACGTGCCTATTCACAGAACATTTACATTTTTCATATTACTGTGATAGCAAGGAAGATAGCGAAATTACATCCTAGCTAAACAGAGAGCGAAGTTGAAGTGCGCAGTTGTCCAATATGTAAGCAGAAAAAGAGAAAGGTTTTGGTTTGGTTTAAAAAGTTTCAGTTTCCAATTATTACTTCATCAGTGCTGCACAGGCCATGCAAAAAGGAAAGATCTAGAAACGACGCAGTCGAGAGGGGTTATTACGAGAGAGAGAATTACCGTATTTGACGGCATATAAGACGCACTTTTTTTCCTAAATTTGGTCTAAAAAAAGTTACCTGCGTATTATATGTGAAGGACACAGGTTAACTTTCGATACCGAATGCTATTTTCAGCCCGGATAAAGGTCTAGACACACATAATCTTTTCTACATCTGCCATAATTATTTTGCGCATGAGTGAAATATCTGTCTCCAAAAAGCACCAAAGCTTGAAGCTGATGTCGAAGTTCGAACAGGTTTGATGGTTACATTATGTCTATGGAGCCTTTCCTTCTTTACATAGACTTTCTTTGACTCAGCCGACACACGTGTCGGTATCGGTGCTTAAAACTATTTGCTTAAAAAACATAACCTGGAAAATATGACTACAGAAAACAAGAGATTAAGCTATACAATTCAGTATAAACTAGGAGTGTTAAATTACGCCAAAGTGCATAGAAACAGAGCAGCAGCAAGGCATTTCGGGCCACTGCCTACCGAAAAAATGATACGTACTTGGCGACTGCAGGAAGATCAACTGAAGACTGCTAAAAAACAAAAACATAACCTTCGAAGCTCAGCTCCATCTTGGCCTGAACTTGAAAATGCCGTAAAAATGTGGGTGATAGATAAGAGGAAATCTGGGATAAGTGTTTTGACCAAAATGATAATCAATGAGGCCAAAGGATTTTCAGAAAAACATGGGAATCAGAACTTTTCAGGGTCTGAGGCTTCAGGTTCTTGAAAAGGGCAGGCTTATCAATGCGCACAAAAACAAATATTGCACAGAAAATGCATGCAAGAAAACTTCTTTTGAGCTTGGTCAAATAGGAAATATGGATGAAATTCCACTCACATTTGATGTACCATCAAACAAGACTGTGAGTAATATAGGGTCTAAATCAATAACCTTAAAAACCACAGGTCATGAAAAAAACCCAATATACAGTAGTTCTAACATGTTGTGCTAATGGCACAAAACTACCACCATTTTTCATATTTAAAAGAAAAACTCATCCGAAAGAAAAAACTTCGGATGTAATTGTTCATGTTCATCCGACAAGGCTGGATGGATGAAACTGGAATGAAACTGTGATTACAAAACGTATGGGTGACGGCGACCTGATGGACTCTTAAGGAAACCCGCTCTTTTGGTTTTGGATCAGTTTAGCGCCCATAGAACTGAAACCATAAAGAATAAGGTGAAAGAATTAAAAATCCAGATAGCTGTCATTCCTGGTGGACTGACTAGCCAATTGCAACCTTTAGATGTATCGGTGAATAAGCCATTTAAGGAAAAAGTGCAAGAACAATGGAACAAGTGGATAGCCACATCACGCCCTCATACCCTCAGGTAGAATGAAGCGGCCCTCTATTTCACAAGTGTGCGAGTGAGTAAAAAGATCTTGGGAGGACGTAAAGGTTGAAGTAATTGTTAAGTCCTTTCAGAAGTGCGGAATCAGTAATGCTCTTGACGGAACAGAAGACGATGCATTATTCGAAGAAGGTGATACTAGCGATGACGGAAACAGTAGTGATGACGATATTCTCTTTTTTGATGATGATGATAGTGAAAAGGATTTTTATGGTTTTGAAAGTGATTAAAGTCTAATTTCATGATAGGCAACATTTTCCTTGAATCTGTGTCTTTTGTTGTTTCTGCTTTATTTTGTATTATGTTTGATTGCTTGCCGTTCATTCATTTATTCATTATTGAAATTTACATATCATGTTCAAAATATCTTGCCGTTTGTTAATTTACCTTAATAAAAATATGTTTGGTAATTGCATTCAATGACTGTTTATTTGGTTTTTACGAAACGTGAGAACTAAAAGAAACCACATTTTAAGTTATTGTGGTATGAACGTGGACTATTGAAACATTTTTCCCTTGTGTGTCGCCTTCTAAATAAGGGTGAGTCTTATATGCTGTCAAATACGGTAAAGAGTTACCCGTTAGTTTAAATATAATTTTGATTTACATATTTTTATCTGCATATATATATATATATATATAGAGAGAGAGAGAGAGAGAGAGAGAACCCATTGGTTTGTTCGTGTGCATGTTAATGTATAAAAGTCTACAATTTTATTCCAATCTTGATGAAATTCTACATACTTGACCTTCAAAACAAAAAGGTCAGTGTCTGCATAAGATGGAAATAAACCACTCCATGGGGACCACACTCAAAGCAGTTGTATTAGAATGTTATGCTCATGTGACCCATCTCAGGTTCATACTGCTGTTGTTACATTCCCACTGCTGCAAATTGAACTGAATTGAAGCTGAAGTAAAGTGAGGCTGATGTTGCAAAATGGACATCAGCCATCAGCTTCTAAAATATATGAGTAGTTACTGATAAACTACAGGAGAAAACGTTTGCTGCTGTGTCTGTCCTAATCCAATAAAGTATCTTCATGTTTTCCAAATAACTTTTTATTTCATGAACTTTACAAAGCATCCAGCATGAGGTAGATGTGAAACATCTGCTATCAGTTCTTACAAAAACTGTCAGATGAGGTCATGTTCATTTACTCTTTAGAACAGGGTAGAATTTTAAAGCAGAATTTAAGAATCTATCAGTTTTTCATGAATATTTCAAAAAACAGTGAAGAAATCTGGCAATGTGACACTGATTACTCAAAAGCTCATTTCTGAAAACAGACATAGTGCCAATACCAAAACGAATTCTTAATAAAACCATCACATGGTATCGTGTTAGTTCTACATTGTTCTAGAGTTTTTATTCAAGCTTGGTAAAAATTTGCACAATTCACCTTGAATCAAAACAAGCAGAAAATCATTGCCTACTTGAGATTTCATATTTAAAAAAAGCCACCACCATTCCCCTAAATCTCTTCACTCTCTGTAAAGCCCAGGCAATGCTGACTAATCAGTCTAATACATATGTTGCTGACACAGAGGTACATACTGCAAAATATTTTATTTTGAAACATAGATCTTTTAATAAATATATAGAATTTAGAGTGTATAAATTTAAGATGCTAAACAAAATGCAATTAGTATGCTTGAGACTCAAATCATGAACATTATGATACAGATACTTAAATAGTTGATGAGTAATTAAAACTAGCTAGTACTGTGTGTGGATTTGGGCCTGGTAAATAATTAAGACTTATACACAGTATAATTTTATAATGTTATAAACAGTATAATATTATTTAAAAGCAATAATAAGGTACCTGTAATTTTTAACATGCTCATGTACTTGATTTAGCCTCAAAGCTGAACTTAAAGCTGTTTTGTATGTTTGAGCTTGAGTTGATGATCCCCAGTTTACATCTAAATAAGAGAACAAAACGTAAGAATAAATTATCAATTGTTAACCTAATGCAATGAAAATAAGTTTAAGCAAGGAAAAAAGTACAAAATCCATACCAGGTTTCCTGTGGTAAATATAAATATATAATCCCAGAACTAAAGCAAAGGTAAGCAAAGCAGTCCACCAATTCATTATAAACATCACTGAAAGGCACAAGATGGCTCCAAGTAAACTTAACCACAGATTATAATATTTGAATGATGGACGAAATCCTAGAGGGGAAAAAATAATGAAACTGTTTTTTTAGTAAAAATTGGACTTATATTTACATTGCATACAAAAATAATTAGGGTATCAAACTTAAGAACATACATATTGATGGGCATAATTTCTGCATTCATGAATTTTTTATGACTGAATTTTTGCTTTCATGCTTCTTGATTACCTGTCCTATTTTTATAGAAGAGAATTTATGACTGACAAAGTATATTCTCACAAATACTATTACATTATTTTATTGCTTTTTTATTTGGAAAAATAAACATAGTATGACAAATGAATTACAGGATTTACACGTTTCATAAATAAACACATAAGAAAGGAGGAGAAGAAAGAGAAGTTCTAATATGTTGAGCAAATTCAATATTCAAGAGATTATGTATTTAAGAGAAGAAAATTCAATATTTGAGAAAATCTGCTATAAAATGCATGAAATCAATAAAAATAAACCTTTGATTTGGTAAATGAAATTAACTCTTGAATTTAAAATATACTTTTATATCATCATAGAATCAGATGCTTTTTATGCTTATAAAATAAAATAAATATTAAAAAATAATTATTGGATGAAAAAAAGATACTTTAACACTTTAATGTACTATGGTACCTCAGTATACATACACTCGGAAATAAGTCCAACCCGATATATGTCCCATAAGGATGTAAAAATGTTTTGTTTGATACGGGATTAGCTTGGAATACCATTTGAGTTCGTTGAGTCACAAATGTAAGCATTGTCTATTTACCTCTTTTGAGAAAAATCCTACAATTGCCCAAGAGCATTAGTATGGCTTTTGCTTCCATTCAGTAAACAATCTGCATTATAACTTTGAATTTTTAAGTGATGTATGTTTTTGCATAACCTTTTTTTATAAATTAAGTAAATAATGAGTTTTAAGAAAGTTAACGAAAAGAATCAAGAGGAGAAGAGAATGGTTAGAATCACCATGGATGCGAAAAAGAGACTGTTGAAAAGTATGAAGATGGTGTGCATATCAAGAACTTGGCTACAGCATACTGAAACTGAGAATGATGATACCTAAAACTATGAAAAACAAAGATGCTATTAAATTCTCTAACACACAAAAGGGGGTGAAACTGATTACCAAAGAAAGACATTGAAATATTTTGAGGAATGGCTTTTGATCTGAGCAACAGAAAAATATTTATGTACAATATTTCATTTTACAGTATATACATTTACTGCATTTATATTTTAGTACTAAACAATGTTATGAAAATAACAATAGGATTTTTTATAAGAACTGAATAATTATTTTCCCTTTGTTATTTACTGGTAAAGTTTGCTTAGTACATGTTCAGTTTGGTACAAGTCCAAGGATCTGCAATGGATTAATAACATATACTGAGGTACCACTGTAATACTTATTCCCCCCTTCCAATTAGATATAGCAGGTATAGGCAGATTGACTGTAAAACAATGTTACGTTTGTTCATGCTGGTTTGATGATATTTTCTGTAAGTCGAACATTCACATCACATCACATTCTATACAAGCATAATTTTTGTAAATATGTTTTAACGTTTTATACTTTATCATTAGCCTCTAACCAAACTCACAAAGCTGGCCACTCCTGACTTACAAAAATACAATACAAAGTCTGTAATCCAGACTCGTCGGGGCTTCGGAGGATCCGGATTAGGGGTTTTTCCAGATTATAGATCATCAATTTAAATCTGGTAAGAAATGCAGAAATTACACAATTAAAAATATGAAACCGTAATTTATGAAATAAAAAGCAATTATGATCTAAAGGCTACCAAAAAAAATTATTTGCTTACTTTATTAAACATTTCTTTCAATGTAAGTTGCTTTTTTGTTCTAATATTTTCTATTTAATTCTGTAGACAGACAATTTCTTATTCACTTACAAAGTTTCATTGTTCAAGTCCTGTAATCGTTGTATTGTGAATTCTAATTAACTTTCAATCGAAATTTTTTCGTTTTCAATAATCTCTCTATCACTTTCTTCACTATGGGAAGTGGTATTTTCTAGATCTAGAACCATACTTTCGCCATCTGTTAATTGATTGATGGTTGGGGCATTGTCGTCGCAATGAAAAACTTCTGTTATATAGTACAAAGTCTGTAATCTGGACGTTCGTTACCTGGAATGATCCATAATCCGGACCTCAAAGCCACAAACTTACACATGCATGTAAAGCCAGTAAAGTGTTTACACATGTGCGCTTCCGATAGTGAAGAAAGTGACAGAGAGGTTATTGAAAATGAAAAAATTTCGAATAACAAGTTAGTCAATATTCTCGACACAGCAATTACAGGATTTGAACAGTGGAACTTTGTAACTGAACAAGAAATTATGTCTGTTTATAGAACAGAGAATTAAACAGAAAGTATTAGCACAAAAAACGAAGCAACTTAAACTTACATTGATATAAATGTTTAATAAAGAAACAAATAAATATTAAGCTTTTTTTTGTAAATTTTGATACCCTTTACATCATAATTACTCTTTATTTCATAAATTATGGTTTCATATTTTTAATTGTATAATTTCTGCATGCCATCTTACCAGATTTAAATTGATGATCTATAATCCGGAAAAAAACCTAATCCGGAATTCACGAAGTCTCGACAAGTCCGGATTACGGACTTTGTACTGTATCATCTTCAGGTAAAAGGTATTACGCATGCGCGTTTAATGTATAACGGACGATATAAGCTAAGCTAAAATTATCTATTTCAGTTAATGTTGCAGATTGCGTTTTTCCTTAATCTTCGAATTGGATCCGGCTTATTATTTTTTGCAGACTGTTAGAGCAGTTTTATAAAAGTAAGCTTGAACTTTCGATTATGTCAAATAGAATTTCCGATGCTGGATACTGCCAAAGGATCTAGAAAATGAAAGAATGTTTCAATGTCCATCAAACAGGGGTGTTTGTGGGACCCCAAAAAATCCCCTGAAACTTTTATGGACTTACTACTGACATTTTGGAGTTTCGAGAATGAAAAATTACAATTATGAAGTATTGAATGACTTAATTATAAAAGTTCAATGAATTACTTTTTTTGCAAAATTAATAACCATAAATTTTCAAACATATAAACTACTACATTTTATGTAAATATTTTAAATTACATTACCTGAATTAATTCTTTAAAAAAAAAAAAATTATCTAATTTCTAATTTTGCTGCTTTTTTTTTTTTTCTGATGTTTGTGGTTTGTGTCTTTTTTTGTGGTGAACTTCATAATTGCAGGAAGGTTGACTTTATTTTATTTTCCTCATTTACAGTTGAAGAAATTTCCTCGAGAACTGCACATGCAGAGATAGAAGCAGTTTGCTTTTCTGCTAATGTAGAAGGTTTTTCAGAGACTTTTATAGGTGACTCATCTGAAATACATGTTTTTAAGTAAGTTTTTATCCTCTTGATATGTTTTTCCAACTTCTGTTCATATTCAGTAAGAGATCTTTGTGAATTGGATCAGTCATTGGATTTTTTTGAGCCATATTTTTTTCACATGAGGTTTCTTTAGAAGCCATTAAATCATATTTAATAGTCTGCACTGCATCTAGGGAATCAATCTTAAGAGAGGTTCTATAGTCAGTGACAAGTGTATCCATTAAGTTGAATGCACTTTCCACTAATGGGCCATGGAAGCAGCTAAGGCAGGCTTTGACCAATTTAGCCAATGTAGGATACTTATAATCATTTGTGAAATCAACTTTTAAATTAAAAATTTTTAGACCAATATTTATCAATTGTACACTTGACTTTGATTTCCACTTTCATCAGATGTGTAGAGCATTTCTTTGGTGATATCAATATCACTCTGGTATAATCCTTATTTCAGCTTCTACTTTTGACTTTTCATTATCACTAAAAATATGGGAAATAAAAGATGATAATTTTTCAAAAAGCTAATATTGTACTGGTTTTAGCCTCTTAGCTCTGGATCTAATGCTGTAAAACTAATTAGATATGAATTTTTAAGGGGTAATTTTTGTTTTTCATATGCTGTGCTGTATTAGTATAAGCTTTCATCAGAGAAATTTGGAATTCTTTTGCTATTGGATGATTTTTTGATAATTTCTTCAGGAGAGTGGAAGCTTCTGCACCAGTAAATATTACTTTGCTAGGTAGATGGAATTCTGGATTTGTGACATCACCTTTAATAAATCATTATTAAGATGTGTGCACTCTATATTTTTTTCTGGCTTCATAAAAAAGAGAAAAAATTTTGCCATCAATTTATAAATACTGGAATGTATTAAATGAAGCATTGGTTTTTTTTTTTTTTTTTTTTTTTTTGTTTCAAATAATTTAATATATGTGTTGAACTCTGGTAATACTGCTGAATATAATGCCATATGCAATAAAGTTTGTTTTGCATAACAAATAACCCATTTAGTATTTTTTTTTTAATTTTTTTTTTTTTTTTTTTTTTTTTTTTTTTTCCGAGCTAAAGCATCCTTTGTGAGTTGTTGGGAATGCAGCAGCAAGAATACACCCCTTCAACAATTTTTTTCTGAGCTGCAGAAATATTTCTTTATTGTATACAGTTTCAACATAAGAAAATAATCCCCTTTATCAGTTTTATCCAAGTAGTTAAAAATAAAATGCAATAAGAGCATCCCACAGATCTTTGATTCTTTCTAAAACACACATAAAATGTACACCCACCTATGGTCTGGTCTCTTCAAGTTTTTTAATGGCAAGGGATTCACAGATTTTGAAAAAAATTTTCTCTTTTACTGCAGCTTTTCATATCAAAATAGATGTCATCAAACAAATCTTCTAAGTATCTATCAAAACATGAAGCAAATTTTTTGCACAGTTATTAGCTGTGTGACATGTGTCACCATCAATATCTAATAATAAGTGGGGTGCTTTGTTTGATCGTAGTCTGGTTTCAACACCCTTTTTTTTTTTCCACGCATGGGTTTACATGAGTCCATTAATACACTAATTAAGTTTGCCCATGGAATATTATTATCTTCAATAGTATT